CCTTTTAAGCAGTTAAAACAATTGGGACCACCCCACTATAAAGAAAACTTACACTTGAGACCTAACAATTTTTTTTTCTCATGGAAACAGTAAAACAGACATTTTAATTAGGCATTATATTATCTTGTTTCACGGATCTATCTGACCATAGGATACCTATGATATCCTCGCAAGAAGGTATAGCTAAAAACAACCAAAAGCAGACAACGTATCCCCTTCAAATGGTTCCATCGAAACTAATTAAAATGATTTTTTTTTAAATAGAAAAGCTTGGATTTGAACAGTAAGCCTTTCACACTAAAAATGCCTTTAAGTCTACTTTTCTGCAGAGCACACTGAGGATCAATTACTGTGATGCCATGGCGGAAGACCGGATAATGACAATGCCAAAAACATGTTCACAAATAAAATGAAGTCCGTTATGCGACAGTGAACATCATATGAGCGCACAAAATGCCATTCTCAGTCTCAGATTGCAGATTTCACTTTAAGGTCTCAACAAATTGCCACGAAGGGAAATGGCTTTACGAGCGTAAACTGAAAATAAAGGTTTAATTGGCGAAGTTGCGCCAAAAACAAAAAAAAGAATGGGGGTCGAAACAGCAACGGCGAACGTTGCGGCATCGGCTTGACAGTCGGCTGGAGCGAGACTGCAAGGGAGAGTGCGTCGGCAAGGCCATGCAAGGCTCCTTATGTACTACCACACTCAGAAACTCAAATATTCAACCTAGAATGTCCGAGAGTGAGTTAAAACGAGACTGACTTGGCAAAATCATGTTGGCATCCTTATCTTTTACACTCGGGTTAAGAGTAAACTCGAATCTACTAGAAGTACGCAGAAGCATTCCACCTCGGTCATGCACCGCAACAACATTTTCAGACTGGTAATTCGCCGGGCTCCATTCGCGATTGGCTCTCCGGCTACTCTGTAGAAGAGCAGTAGCATGGCCATTTTATGTCTTGCCTAGACCTTCACTGTGTTCCTGTTTCTTCCTCCCCATGAGATTCAATTTTGGTTTATTAAAGATATCTCGAAGCAAATTAGTTTTCTACCACCTGATGAAATACGAAATCAGCGAGTACTTGGGACTCGCGGTCAGGGCTCCTGCGTATTCCTTTCCTCTAAGGCCTGTTCACACAGCCGCCACAGAGCTACCTCAGCACCACTAGTGAGTGCTGAAAATAGCACGAACATTGCTGATGTGGTGCCGATTTTGCACTATATTAGCGATACAGGGCTGACATTGTCACGGATAGTAAAGAATCGACAAGCATAAAACAAAGGTTTAATCGGCGAACTCGTGCCAGAAACAAAGAAAAGAATGAGCGTCAAGGCCTTGGTGTGACCGCTAGCTAGCGCAAGGTTTCAAGCTGGCTGGCTAACGCAAATGTTCAAGCGTCAAACGCTCGGGCGACTGACTCGGCAAAATCATGGTGGCCTCCTCATCTATTGCACTCGAGGTCAGGGTAAACATGAATCTTCTAGAAGTACAAAAATATGTTTCCTTCCATGCACGCAGCAATAGAGCGCCGCGTCAGAGCAGTTGGTAGTCTTGGTTTACCGCTGCGATGTATGTGTGAACCGGCCTTTAGTTTCCTCAAGTCCCGAGTCACCACCACAAATAATACCTTTGTGAGAATCCCTTCTTCCCGCGCATATCTTGTCATTGCATGCAGTCATTCTGTTGTGCCATTTCTTTCCTCTTTGTAAATGAACCAATGTGTTTGTGCCCAGCGCTGACAACGACTGGTGGCTACTTCAACCCCATCATGGCCTCCGCGCTAATGCTGGGCTGCGGGGGCAGCACACTCACCGAGCACTTCACCGTGTACTGGGTGGGGGCCCTCATTGGGGGATTCTTTGGGCGCTACTTCGACTTCAGGCTGGAGATTGCCATCAAAGAAAAATATGCATGATAGAAGTTTCACTCATGAACTTAGAGCAGTACTCATTCCACGAAAAAGGGTGCAACCTTTGTGTCAACCTTCAGAGATGCACCGAGAAAGTACGGAGCAGTAAAATCAGCTCAAAATAAATGGGGAAATATATTTTGAAAAAGGGATATGTCTTTCAGTTCAGTTATGAGGAAGATATGGATCATAATGTACCAGAGCCAATCCCTCTGTTTTGCTTTAAAACATTTGAGATGATGTTTAAATAAACAAAAACGTAAAATCTGACAAATTATATCTAGAGAAAAAAAAAGTCGGAAGACACTTAAGTACTTCTTACGAGTTGTGAATGCGTCGGCGGCGAGTTTCGCCGCCGAAGAAACCGGCAATGATCTGGATGCTAGAGGTGGCGCCATGTTCGTCAGTGGTGAGACGAGCAGAAGCACCGCCGGCGATGTGGATGAAGGAGGCGACGGTATGCTGGTCGGCGGCGAGACGAGCAGAAACCTCCGAGAGCGCGCCAACGTGTCCGTTTTAACCGGCGCAAGGCCTGTAGTGGCATGGGGTTGCGGCGGTTAGTTTTATCGGCGCGCTGGCGGCACGGACACGCAGTGCCATCTGGCGGCGGTTGTTGAAACTGATGCGTGCAGCGGCCAATGGGAGCCTCATCGCCGCGCGCCAGCCAATGGGATTTTTGGGATCAGGGAAACTAGGTGCCGTTTTCGTGCTTCAAATTGATGACGTCGGCTCGCTCCATGGAAGAGTTAATGCTTTCGCATTAAAAAACAGAAGTTCCCAAAACCAGAATCTACATGGCGAGACCAAGGGACGAGGACAACGCCGCCTGTTGCAATTGGCCAGCTCTGCGCCGCTGACCAATCGTAGGAGGTGGGGCTGTCCGAGTCCCTTGGTCCCGCCGTGTAGATTTGGGGCTCCTGGCTAGAGGTGTTGCCGAGACCTTAGAAGCCACCAAAAAGTCCAAATACCTTTAGTGAACCAAGAGATTCTCCATATCACCAACAGCTTGTTTATACCATCGCAAAGACGAGGCTTCTTCAACTGTTCACTGAATAAATTCCTCAAGTCTTTCAATGTACATGTTTAATATGCCAAATAAACCTATAATTGTTAATCATTGAGGCCCAGGAATTCAAAGTTTCTCATAGGAATATTAAAGAAGTCTCTTAGTTCGCCATGCTACGGCAAAAACTCAAGGCACTCCAAGCATCCTAAAGACACAAAAATTCCAATCATCAATAGCCTATTTTCAGAAAATTTCCATCAAAGATTGAGGCACTTCCTTGTTCTCGTGAAAAAAGGAGGGAACGTCGCAATCTTTGACCGCTTCACGCATAAAAAAAAAAAAAGAAACAAAAGTTTATGTTGAAGTACTTTTGCTGCATGGTTGTTTCTAGGGAATGTAATGGTGCTGAATTAAATAGGTACAGCTTGTTGTAAATGGCACAGTGCTTCCATCCCTAAATTCAGGGGATCTGGAGAAGTGATTCTGGTCCATGTTCCATTTGCCCACAACCAAAAAGTGCCACAAATCAATGGCAGCCAAGACCTTGCACTTCCATGATTGATTGGCATGCCTAGCTTAGGCATGAGTCCTAGGTTCTCAGGTTGTACACAGGGGCTGATTTAGACGGGGGTTCCGGATGTCCTGACCCCCCTCTTGATTCCTGAATGTGTAAAATTTAGGGCGTGAAACGAGGGAGAGTGGGAGGGGTTTCCTGAACATATGGTACGCTGACCGACACCTGACCCCCCCCCTCAGGAAATTCCTGCATCCGCCCCTGGTTGTACAAACAAACACTTGTTGCAGCTGTGTCACCAGTAAAGCTTAATTAGACTAGAGACAATGATAGCTAGACCACAAAAGTGCCAAAACTTCTTTCGACATGGTGTTGTTGCTAAATTTGAGGATTATACTAGAGTCATTCTAAAAATAGTTTAATACAGTAGCAGGATTGCAGATTCCTCCCGGTTCTACTCTGAAAAAAGTAAGCAATAATAAAAAGGCAATAAGTACTCTAGCAATGTCACGGAAGAATCTAATTTTCACGGCTAAACACGGGCAGCCATTCTAAGACTTCCCCGAGAGATGTTGACACAATAGTACAAGAAGGTACTTGAACAACAAGGAGAAACAGTAGGGGACATCAACGGGACTAGCACACATGACATTCTTAGGGAACCCCCCCCCCCCTACCCTCCCCCCCCCCCCCCCAAAAAAAAAAAATTTGCAGTTTCTTTTATTGCAAAATAAAACTATGCATTGCCAAACGCTCATTCTTGTCTCAAAGGTATCACTAGGGGTCCGCACCAGATGCTAAAGTTTCAGCACAAACCGATATCTTATTCAAAAGTTATAAGTGATTTCTTGAAAATTTCAATGGGAAAACAGGGCTTATTTTTGTCCGCTTTCGGTTTCCGGCACCATAGAATTCCATGTATCCGAGAGCTCCTTCGGCAACCATTTTCCTATTAAAATTTTCAGAAAATCACGTAACTTTCCAATAAGATGTTGGTTCGTGCTGAAACTTTGGCATCTGGTTCGAACCTCCACCGCTACCTTACCGCTAGCGGAGAATGAGCACTCAGCAAAGCATAGCTTATTTTTGCGGTGAAAAGACCATGTAAATTGGTTCTTGGGACGCCCTGTATATCAAATATCCGCCTTTAGGCCGAGGCAGTCGAACATCTGCCTCAAAAGCAAGAGTGCCCCGATCAGCAATGCACATCAAGGTTAGCTCGAATGTAACTAGATGTAAGTAGTTATGTGAGTATGATTAGTACAATTGTGTCTCTTTCCTGTGCGCACGTTTCTTGATGCTTTAAGTTTTCTTGGAATGCACCAATTAGCCCACCTATCCACCTTAATGCTATAAATTCAGCAATGCCCACTCGTAAGCGCTTTGTGCACTGTCTCCGGCATTGCTAACTTCACTACTCCATGGTTCTCTAGAGCAGTCGTCTCCAAACTTTCTGGCAAAGGGGCCGGACTGGAAACCCGTTGCTGTCTCGAGGGCCAGAAAGTAAATATATAATTATAAATGAGAAATAAACTTAATAAAAAATTGTACATCAACATTTAAATGCAAAACTGAAAGCTAGAGTACAAAAAAAAAAAAAGGATCTAATATGGATTAAAATACCTATATACGTTATTTGGAAATTCAATATTTAGCTAAATATGACATTACACAATAATTGGGACTTAGAAGAGTCACAAAGAATAAATCAAAGCACATAAGAACTTTGGCTTGTTCCCTCAGGGCAGACTAATGAGAATGATTGAACAGACAGTGTGCAATAGGTACGGCACAGGACACTAAGCGCGATATGCACGGGAACGCAAAGTAATTTTAACGGGGGATTAAGAATGGTGATGCTGGCGACGACAATGTCTAACGAATAATATGACGAGAGGACACGCCTCATTAATTGGCAGATTTCTCTCGTTTTTTTTTACGGTATCTTTGTTTATGCAGTTCTTGCACCTTGCGATGGCGTTTTTTTTATGTGCACCTATTTTTGCGCCGGTAGCGATGGGCCTGCCGAAAGCAAGCCGCGGGACCGGCTTCATTGTAAGTACCGTGTAAGTGTAAGTACCGTCTAAGTGTAAGCAACGGGCCTGTGGTGCAAGTTAGCAGTCTGGGTTTGGAGACCCCTGTTCTATAAGCACGGCGGATGCTCCAGATCTATTGGTGAAACAAACGTCAGGACCCTTGTAATCGAATTGTTAGAAGATCTGAAAGAGCTAGGAGCTTGAAACCCAGACGCACACGTTTGAAAAGACATCACGCAAATAGAGAATATAACAGTGAGGATGGCTCCAAACTGACCAGCAGATCAGGAGCTGTAGAGGGGTGACCCGACGATCCGCTGGAGTGGGAAGGGCGACGCAGCGAAGGACTTCTCTGTCGGTTCTTGGGAGAGGGGACAGTAGTAGAGGGGAACGTGACTCACGACTCCGTTGCTCCAACACTAAATAAAAAAAGAACGGAAAGCGACTCAGCTTAGTTTTCTCTTCAGCTGGCAGCCTTACTTAATTAAAAAATTTTAAGAAACATTTATACCACTATGCCAATCAGATATAGACTTTTGTCTTGCCACAAGCACTTTTACTTTAAAGGGACAGTGACACTCCCCAAATTTGTTTTTTCATTTTTTGCCAGGCGATTTATTATGGTGTCAAAACACTACCCAATTAATATTTTGCTACAAAGTCACATATTTATTTTAATAAAGCCAAAAAATGCAACTGCTCGAAACCGAAACCGAAACCCCCGCACCGCATGGAGAAGTGGAGAGGAGAGAGTGAGTGGCGGAAGTCAGATGGCTACACCCACCGTGCTTTTTTTTTTTTTTTCTTCCGAGTGCACCAAACGAAATGCGTTGTGGGATCCGTTCACCGTGCCATTCCTTTGCAGTTATGTTTGTTCTGCTCGCTGTTCTGTACTTCAAGATGAGTTGCTTTGTACATTTAAGTGTTGGCAATTAGTAGTGAGTGCCCGTGGTGAATTCCCGTGATCGGCTCCGAGAAGAATACTCCCAAGATGTTGCGTGAAGAGCTGCCTCACATGTCCTGCATCTGAGAGTGGCATTGTGCAACAGAGGTGTCAAAAATGGAATCCCATACCATTTATTTCAGTGACTCATCGTTCACAACAATTGTTTTTTTCAGTGATAATAGTAAAAAAAAGAAATAAAAACATCGCAAAATGTTTGAAAAAAAAAAAAATGGTACGCCTACACTAGGGATTGAACTCGTGCCCGCTGCGTGTGAAGCGGACGTCTCTCCACTGAGCTACTGAAGGAACTCTTTCGTTTGTAGTAATGCAGCGAGCGGGTCAACTGTACGTCGGAAAGTTTGCTGCCAATTTCCCTCCAGTACATGCACTTACAGCTTGAAGTCTGGCAGCACCACGTATAGGCCACATTCGCACCTAGTAAAGAAACCGTACGCATGCGTGTTCAACTCGACGTACACACTTTGTGCTTGACGGTTGAGCGAGCGACGTCTTCAGCCACAAGAAGAGATGATGGCTCGGCGACGTCTTTGTGCAATCGGCTTGCTGGTCGGGCAATCGGCTTGCTGGTCGGGCATCGTACGGGATGACTATCAATTCTTTTGATCGGTCCAAAATTTTTCTTTCGAAAGAAGACAAAATTCGCCGGCACTGTGAACGACAGTTCTGAAGTAGAGGTCCCAAGCCCGTCATGCGCTGCCACCCACGAGTCCCACGAAACGCGAACGACGCCATGTTGAGAATTATGCAGTGAACGCACAGAATGCTTCCGGTTGTCTGTGCGACCTTTCTTTTTTCAATAAACGTATTTGCAGCTTTTTGAGTCCACAAAAAATGGGTTTCATACTTTTTTCTATTTTTAGTATTGACTGTGTGCCTTCAATGACCCACGACTTTGATTAAATTTCGTGGCCGCGTCTCAACCTTAGAAAACGACCCGTGACCACGAAAAAGAGTGAGCGCAAGTCAAACCGGCCAGTTCTCGATCGGTGGTTTTCGGATAGAAAGAAACCGAATTTCGAGCCACAAATTCTGTTCTGGGTAGTTGGGCTCTCATATGTCACGTACAACTAAAAACCTCGGCGAGCATAAATACCCTGTCAGTGTCCCTTTAAATAAATCATAAGTATCTCAGATTGTAGAACAATGCTTGTCCGCTATCTTAGATGTTATCTGCATACATCGTTGAATGTGACATTTTGGCAAGTTTATAAGGTGTTTGCATGGAACACACTCATCTCACGGTGAGTTGCTGATGCGCGCTCAGCTACCCATCTCAATTGCTCGTCTTTGACACTGAGAATTATTTTAGTCATGAAGGTAACCGAGGTAAATTTGGTACAGCCTATCACTAAACATGCTTCTTGGTTAAGCATTCTAATGTTGGCCAGGCACTGACATAGTACAAAAAGTGAATGCATGTACGGTAACCATATTATACTAGGCAGGCATTTCTTTTATTAATGATTCTGCTATTTTTTTTAATAAAAAATTGGTCACACCTGCCACGGATAAGTTTTAAATGAGAAATAAAATATGTTTCAATAGCCATTTAAAAGACTGTAAGAACTCCTTTTTGATTCCCATGTGCAATTTGCATTAAAAAGTGGAACATTAGATATCCCTAAAAATCCATTATTTGGAAGTACAGTGAAACCCGTTTAGAACGAACCCACGTACAGCGAATTATTGTCGATATCGAACTCACGGAAAATTTAAATAAAAAAGCATGTAAAAAGTATGTTTTATAACGAACAACATATTGGCTATATCTAACTTTTTCTTCCCGGAAGGCTTCCAAAAACGCGCTAACATTCATCTTCTAGCCTGTTCTTCCCTCAGAAAAACAAGTAGGAAAAAAAAGAAAATTCCAAAAGCTCAAGTTACGAACAAAATTAAGCTAAGAGAAGCGATTTAGAAGGAGAGAAAGCTAAAAATACACTCTGCACAGATGAAAAAAAAAGAACAAACTTTTTAGCGCGTTGTTACGGGGGGGGGCGGAAGTGAAGATATGAGAAAGAAAAGAGAAGCTCTCGCCTCACAACGACCTCATCGTGGAAGTTTGTTGTAAATGTTTTTTGCTATATCGAACTACTTGCTATATCGAACTGAGGGTTGCGTTTCCTGCTGTTCATTATGAACGGGTCTGACTGTAAAGGACGAAGCCATGTTCATTTCAAATGGTTTGATTTTAGAGCAAGCGTGGCACTACCTTGGCAAATAACACTTGGTGATTGACACAAATAAGGATAAGCTAAAGCCTCGCGAATGCCAATTCTGAATTCACCCAGACTTTGTGCCGTCATTGCGAATTAGGGCCATGGTCTTTTTTTAGTAACCAAATCGAGGGATCCCAAAAATAGGAATACCAAAATTTTGGACAAAGCAGCCTACCACAGTGAGCAAGGAACCACCCTCGAAGCCGTCATAGAAGCTCAACAGCTGGGCATGCTCCCCATGGGGCCCGGAGATAAAGCCGCTGTTCAGAAAAAAGGAAAAGAAATGCCCCATGTAGAAGCCCTCCCAAGCAGGCAGCATATTACTAGCATCAGCAAATGCGACCACGACAACTGGAGCAAGAAAGCAGCACAATGTCATGGGTACAGTTCCATGTTTTGGGGCTTAATCATAATGTAACACCCGAGACTGCGGTGCAGAAAAATGAAGAAACTTTCAAGCCGAAGGAAAAGACGATGGTAGGAGAACGTCTCAAACAAGGCTCATTTCATTTACTTTTCTCGCTCCTTATACGCACCCGATGCAGACGTCCCGGCCTCTCCACGAGTGCGCTCTTTGACAGCACAACCGAATGACCCCTTTTTAACAGCAAGACCTTGATACCGGTAGACACCTTCATTAAACTGTACTACCCTTTCTCGCACTGGTAATGACCTTGAGACACTTTCTTTCACAATCAATAACAAAACCCCCTAGCAAAAAAAACAAAAACAAAATGAGTTGGATTTTGGAACCACTTCCTTTAAGAATGCTTTTGGGGTTATTTTGTTTTTCGAATTCACGTGTGCTTTTTTATGGTTTATTTTATTTCCACACATACTGTGCTTTTCAATGTTTATTTCTGGTGACGTAAAAAAAGTTCACAAAAATTTATAACTGAAAAAAAAAAGAAAAAAAAAACAGGATGTGGGTATAGGATTTTTTTATCACCAGGGAACAAGCGTGCAACCCGAATACTTGAAAAATTTCACGGTACCGATAGAAGAAAGGTGCCAAACCGAACTCGAGCCCAAACCAAAAACCGGAGCAAAACCGTTATTTCTGACTATAGACTGGAACAAAACCGGAACTGAAATCAAGCATTTAATAGTGAACCCGAACCAGAACGGGACCGTAATCTCATGTGGCCTTTAGCGGTTCATTGGAAAACGGTTCGGCGTAATAAAATGTGAGCCACGCCTTATTGCGGGCAACAATACGAAGTAATTAAATATTTGCGACACACGCTACGAAATAAATAGAAAAATTAACGTCTATATGAAGCGCAATTTGGCATCGGCGAGTCGGAGCGGTGGCGTGCCCCTACACCTTGTTTCACCTTACCATCAACTGAAAAGGATGCTACAAGCCACCGAAGTCAATCCATAGCTCAGGGGGTGTCACGTGCCCTCTCGGTTGGGCAGTGCGACGTGGGGAGTGCAAAGTCACGTGAGAAGCTACAAGATATGAATTGGTGCAGGTAGCTCGTAGCGTCCGTCGTGGAACATTGTAAGGTGAAACAGAGTACAGTCGCCGGCCGATTTTTCGGACCCTGGGGAGACCCCGAAATTGTCTGAATAATCAAGCGGTCTGAAAAATCAATTTCAGCCAAAATGTCAAATTTCCGGGCATATTCGGCTGCATACTGGCCACTTTCCAGTTGCTTGATGTCAATTTTAAGTTCTCTTGCAACTTCCACTTTATATTGCTCACTTTTCGCTTGTTTGCTGACCTGTTTGATCACCGTGCTGCGCTTTGTCGGCGCCTTCGTTGGCACAAACAGCCAAGTTGAAGTTGGCACAAACAGCTAAGTTGCAGTTGGCGCCATCTGGCACTATTTGGAGACAATGTTTAGTCTACCGAGCTCGCTTGAATACTAAGCCTATCGGCAAAAAAGCTTCGCGCTCAAAGTCCACAAGAACAGCAGACGGCAGCTCTCCTCGCGGTCGCACTCGAAAAACACGGACCATGAGAAGAACTGGAAGAACCATAAGAATGGGCAGGTGACGGCCATGTTGGCTACGGCAGAGCCTGAAAACCCGACTATAGCCTCAACCCAGCTTGTTTATTGCATAGGACTTGGTGTCGAGGCTACAGGGCAAAATCGAAACAAACAAAATGGCGGAAACTCAGCTCGTGGCGCTACTGCAGCAGCTGTTTTGTGGCTGTAAAGTTAAAAAATCACGCAAATTATGTCCGAAATATCGAGCAATAGGCTTTACGGCGTGCACAATTTCGATCAATGCTATACATTACCTCTATGGGGTGAACGACGGTTCGGCGAAAACGTCCAAATAATCGGCGTTTGAAAAATCGGTCGGCGACTGTATATCTGACTATGCCAAGAGGCTAACAAGCTATTCTTTGCGTGTTTCTGTGTTTTTCGTTTCTTGGTGCTAAGCAATGTTCTTCAAAAAAGGGAAAGCAAGCATAAACATTAAAATAAAAACAAGTCAACAGCTGTCGGCACATTTGTTCCGCGTTCGCAAAATCTGGAGGCGCCAAGAGGCGAAGCTGTGACAAGCGTGACTGACACTGCGATGCACAAAGCGTTCGGGCGTGCTACCGTCAAGGTGTCACTGTGTGTGCCAGCTGATTGACTTCACATGTGAGTACCGCACTTTGTTACCATTTCCGAGTGATTGTATGACCATTTAATTTGCGTCGAATGGTTAATTCTACCACTTAATTTGTGATAAAAACTCACGATCACAAAACAAAATTAGGGATATCTTCATTTTGCTGTCTTCGTTTCGGCAGCAGGGCTTCTGATGAACTTTTCCTTTAATGCAGATGATGTCATGTTAAACAGACTTTTTTTTTACTCAACGACTTGGAGCTGTGAACTTTTCTTTTTAACAACCGATTTGAACCGGTTTTCACTTGGTTGAACTGGTAACCAAACCATTATTTAGAATTCATCACTGAACAGGAACCGAACCAGAACACAGTGCAAATCTACTGAAGCTAAACTGGAATAATGACCAGTTCGGTTCCCTGGATAAAAGAAAGGAACAAGACAAGGGGATTCTAGAGAAAGAAGCAGCCTGGTAGACAGTTCAGTGAAGGCTGTGCTCTGGGCTCAGCATAAAATAAACCTGCAGAGAAAGATTAATTCCTGCAAAGCTTGGATTTCTCTTATTGAAGGACAGCTCACTATTGGGGATTTTCGGCTTTCCCCGATTTTGATAAAACCGGCTCGTGGGCTAATTTCGGTGGTTTATTGATACATACCATAAAAACAAAACCCTGCTTATGGGATGTTCCCAACGTAAAAGCTTCGGATCGCATGAACTGGAACTGTCTAACTGAGGATGTGCCATACTACGACCTTGACGCTAGAATTTGAGTTGCGGTATGAACCTTAGGAATCTAGCAAAGTCGCAGCCTTAGATTGACGAAAGATGGAAAACCCTGTTCAGAATCGTGGAAGCTTTCACTCACCAGGGACTGACTTCGAGCATCGGAGATGTCCTTGTGCAGAAGAGAGCAACATACTGTCCGTGGTCTGGAGCAGGAGGGAAACAAAATTTCAGTCAGTGCATTGTCTCGTACAGAAAGTGCAAGTCGTGGGTAGATGACGAACCTCTAAAGGAGACAGCCAGTCTCTCTCCGTGCTTGTCCCAAGCCATGTTCTGCACAGTTCCTCCGACCCTGACAAAAGATGGCGACGAGATCGACGGTTGAACATCCCACGTCCCATAAGCATAGCTGCGATTACTATGTTGCGTTGTGACGAGAACTGCAGAGAGCTCAAAGCTGCAACTTGCAACCCAACACAGAAAGATGAAATTGCAAAAGAGAGAGGGCAACCAAGTTTGTTTTCATAAAAACCAAGTGTCCACCAGATATTTCAGACCAAAGCAAGAAACGAAGCTTTAGATATTATTTTTCTCACTTTGTACACACCTCAAACTATACACTCTTTCAAAGATAGAGCACCATCGTGAGTCGTGACAACAAAAATTATGCCCCAGTACATCACCTATAGCTGGTTTTTGAAACTCGGCATTCTTGAAACTGTCCCATGTGTTTCAAGGGGCTCCCTACTGCACTCCACCGGCCATTTTGCCCTCTTAGACGTTTTGGGAGCACAAAATAAGAGCTTTCACTGGTGTTTGTGTGCACTCATTATATAATTTTTGTAGCCACACAGATGAAACCAGTTCTCGTTTTAGCAGTGAAGTGACTTCAGAAAGCAACACTGTCGCTAGAACATACGAATTGGAACGTTACTTAGAAAAAATCTTGCACTATTATTATGTAAAATATGGGAAAGAAATAAACTCTGAAACAATGATAAGATCTGCTCTTCGGAAAAACATTCTTCACTAGATTAGCATTTTTGCTATGTCAGTAATTCCAATGCCTGTACCTGTATTACAAGTGTACTACTACAGCTTTGTTTCACTATATCCACATCTTCACTATATATTTATCTGTTTTCCCTTTGGAGAGATTCTATTGTATAGCCATAGTCTGTTGCTGAGAGCTGCAAAAGAGACTGCCCCACCCGAAAAAGAACACTTCACCCAATGCCAACTGCTCAAGGCCACAATAGGTATTAGGTCATTTTTTTTTGTAAATGCACATCTTTAAGAAATAAGTAAATGGGTTACTGGTGCTGCTTTCATTTTGCGACATCAAAACAATTATGCATTCACACTGAGTGATGTGGCAATGACTGTTCTCTTTGGGAATTCAGAGGCAAAGCTTCTCCTGCAGTCCTTGTCTTGCAACATACTAAGAACAAGAAGGAGGAGTAAAGTGTGTTGGTAAAGCACCTTGAAGCTGGGGGTTAATGATTGCAGAAGGTCAACAAACATAGAGTATTCTGTCCCTAGCTTACATTTTACGTTCATCGAACTCCAACTCAAGACCGAAAAAGATTGTCAGTAAAAGTTCTGCTTTGGAGCAGCTGAGGAGTCACAAAAGTCGAGTTTCGTAGCAGTGTAGATAAATCTTGGAGCTGGTCACCCAGGTCACACTTGAGGCTACAGTCGAACCTGTTTATATCGAACTCGCAAAAAACCGTCTACCAGTTCGATATAGCGGGTAATTAATATAAAAGCTTTAATGAATTTGACAACAAACAAGCACCCTACATTACAGAAGTCGTTTACTCTCAAAGGGGTGTCTGTACATCATGAGGGACGCGCCATGCGGCTATTCAGTGGCTGCTTCTTCCGGGCGGTCGATGCGGCCACCCGAAAGAAAAAAAGTTAGCTTGCAGAGCAAGACAGCGCTCATGGCAGTTAGATCTATTGGGAGATGCTGCAATTTTTGTTTAATGTAACCACATTTTTCGCTGTGCATTTTTATTGCAGCTACTAGTCTGTTCAGAAATGTCTCCTAACTATGAGGAACATTGATGGGGGACCCATAACTCTGAGAAACACTGATGTTTTGTAACTATGAAAAACATTGATGATGAGAGTATGAGTATGAGTATGAGAAACCTTGATTCCTCATAGCTATGAAAAACCTTGATGCCTTTAACTACGAGAAACATTAACACCTAGTAGCTATGAGAAACAGGGCTGCTAAGTGGCTTACTTGATGTTCTCTGGGTGTCCCGAAAGGGCCGACAGCGTCACTTCGGCAAGGTCCACCACGGGGAGACCGCTGCCTGAACCCGCCGAAGAGTGAGGGATCCAGGCAGAGTCTTCTTCCTCATCACCCAGACACGGGTTCAGAGGCTTGGGGAAAGAAACCGCATAGAGCGCGGGGCTGTTCGAGAACGCGCACAGCAGCTGTGCTCCGTCAGGACTCCAGCACGCCGCCTGACACCGTCCCTGGAACGTTGACCACCGGTCGCAGCGCCAGAACTGCGTGTCCCAGACCCTGCCAGAAGCAACACAGGCGTGGATGCTGTAGTACAGGGGTGGCCAGGCTGACCCGGCCCAAGAGCCGCAAACAAAACCACGAAACTTCCAAGAGCCGTGGGGGAGGGCAAACTTTTGTCCGGAGCAGTAAACGAAACTCGACCTACTTTAAATCTCTCCGAGTCGGAAGCAGTTCTGCTGTACGTAAGGTAGTAGTTGCACAAGACTACCTGCCTTTCGATTTAAAGTGCATTCCATTTCATTTTTCGGGGAAATACTCGTATGACCGGGAGAAAGGCGGGGAAAGGGGAGGGGGGTAGGAGAGGGAGCCGCAAGCCGCACTCTAACACGCAAACAGCCGCACGCGGCTCGCGAGCCACAGCTTGGCCACCCTTGCTGTAGTATAACACCTTTACATCCGATGGCGCCACTCAAACATCAGCGTCATCAGCCTATGCAGCAACTGTCGGGTCCCCGTACCCCTCCGCCCCATTGTACGACTCCCAAAAATATATATTAGTCTTGTTCCAATCGCCGGCTTGTGTGGACGTCTCTTTCCTCGCTCAACCTGCCTGCTTGGAGCCAGGCCACCGAGATTCCCTTGTGTCACATACGGCACCATGTAAGCCCTCTTCTATTCCTTAGCAAACCTTAGTTTAGTTTAGACACTGTTTCCTCCTTCCTTTCTAGATGTCATCGTTGATCACTACAGATGCACTTTAGGACGGTAGGGCTGGCTTGCTAGGAGAAGCGGAGAAACGCTGATGGGATGGTCTTGTTTACTTACAATCTTATTGGAAATGAGTGTTAGGTTAGCACAGGGATCTCCAAAATTTTCAGATAAGGGGCCGGATAGGGGACCTGTCACAGCCTGGATGGTCGGAAAAGAACTGAGTAAGTAATTATAAATGGGGAAATACTAAAATAATCCTAGATAAGCATTTAAATACAAAATTAAAAGTAAAAATAAAAAAAATCTAAGGTGTATGAATATGTGCACTTTATTTTTAAAGTCAATATCAAGCTAATTATGACATTGCAAAATAATTAGAACCCATAAAACTCACCAAGCATTACACAAAGCGTAATAAAACTTTGGCATACTCACACAGTGCAGAAGACTAATGAAAATTATACAACTGATGCTAACAACATCCGATAGTTACGACACAGGACACTAAGCACAATATACTGAGAATGCAAAGTAATTTTTACATACATAGATTTAAAACAGGATTAAGAATGGCGATGCTAGTGATGACAATATCCAATTATTAATATGGCAAGAGGAGCCACGTTACTATAGGCAGTTTTTTCTTGTTCTCTCTAGTATTTTGGTTTGCGCGGTTGGTGCATGTCGCGCCGCTAATTCCTTAGCGCACTCATTTTTGCCCCGGCAGCAGTGGGCCTGCTAAAAACAGATCGCGGGCTGGGCTTCAATGGAAGGACCACGGCAAAGCACGGGCCGGTCAGATGACCTTTGCGAGCCGGGGTTTGGGGCCCATGGCTTGGCGCAATAAAAGTGGTACCAGTAAAAACATTGCACATTTCGCACTCACCAACTCGAGCAAGCCAGCCCCATTCTCAAACTGAGCTCGGAGCTAAGTAAAACTGTAAAACTTATGTGAGCAAAGAATGGATATATATCAAGTCCCAAGACAACATTAACAAGAACAAGGCAAATGTGCAAGATCAAATTGAAATAGGAACTATGTCTTCCAGGAAAGCATTGCTAACATTTTAGATGCAACTAAACTCTCTGCCTTGCAATGATCACGAACAACACAGTATCTAACCTGGTTGTGCTCTGTGATGATCTACCTGGGCAGCATAGGAAACTGCAATTAAATCCCTTTTAATACTAAGTGCCACAACCAAATTAATACCTAAATGTGCCTTTCTGTGGTCTTAAAGAACATATACCATATCACAGTAGTAGAAAAATATCAAGATTGCTCTTTGACATGCTCTGACCAGGAAATAGCCTGCTCTTGAATTTTTAGCAATTCATTTTAACCTTTCTATACAAATTATATGGGGCATTTTTTCTCTAGGCTTTACAGATTTAGAAAAAGAAAAATCTGTGAAAGCTACACAATTTTGTTTGGGCAAGTGAATCACTATATGGAGGGGGACATGACATAGGGGGCTAAGTATCGCAACGAGTTGGATAATTTACTCCCCCATTGCGCAGGCACGGCGAACCTTGCTGGCTTCACGATGGCTTCCGTGAAGAAAGATTGCGTTGCTGCGCTTTTCTTTGTGTTTTATTTACGAAGCGCATCTGCTTTAACCTTGAGCGCACCCGCCGGCTTCCACGACGAGGCAGCTGCATTGCTGTGCTTTTCTTGGTGCTTTATTTCTCAAGTGCGTCCACTTTGAACTTGAGCGGCTGCGCCGGCTTCCCTGACAAAGCATCTAATATGAAGTGTCGTAGCCAATTTAGGTACTGTTTTTCACAATTACGAGTGTTTAGGCGTCGTTTTTTTTTTTTTTTTGCAGTTACAGACGTTGTTGGCTCCACTCTACGGTACAGCTAATGCTTTAGCATTAAAACTATGTATAAGGACGGCAGGGGCCTGATGAAGTTGCGACGCACGGCTGTTTTCTATACCTTGTGCCTTTAAAGGACACATGCAAAGGAAAAAAACATTTTTTTTAGACAGCTTAGATGGAAAAAGGATGTCATAAAACGATTTTACAACGAAGAAACAAAATTTTTAGAGCTACATTTACGGCGCTATGCGAGTTTGTAGTTGGCGCTCGCGGGAGCCGCCGCTGGTCACGTGGTAGGCCCGCGCGCCGCCGCGCTGCGTCGCCGCCGCACGCTGAGCGTTGTGCGAACGCCGCTTCAACGCGTTTCTCCACGCCGCCGTCGCCGCCGCCGCACAAGTTTGTCTGCTTCGGGGCGCCGCCGCCGTCGTCTGACCGGCGCACTGGTCTATCACGTCTGCTTGCGCTTTTTCAGGAGTTTCCTTTGGGCTCTAAAAGTTACTTTTTCATCTTGGTTTTTCGTTATACTTCAAACAAAGATTAATAAGTTACTTTTAGAGGCCATAGGAAGCTTCCGAAAGAGCGCAAGCACCACGTGATAAATAAAGACCAGTCACGTGATAAATACAGACCACTTTTCTGCGGTGCCCGCGGGCGCCAACTACAAATTTGTTTTGCGCCGTAAATATAGCTCTAAAAATTTTTTTTCTTCGCTGTAAAATCGTTTTATGGCGTCCTTTTTCCATCTAAGCCGTTTAAAAAAAATGTTTTTTTCCTTTGCATGTGTCCTTTAACAAAGGAGGAGAAACATTTAAAACCAAAGGAGGCTTCACCTGAAGAGACTCTGTGGAGCGGCCGCGAGCAGGTGGGCTCCATCGGGGGACCACCTGAGCAGGCAGACGCCCCCTCCAGCCAGCCGGCACAGGGGAACACACTCCTCAGTGGACACGTTCCAGATCTGGTTGCCAGACAGAGAGACATGGAGGAATGGTACACTATACCCACACGGGGGATGCAGTTTGGCAACAACAAAATCATGCCTCCTTAAAGTTAATATAATACCCTCGAGGAAAAAGGTCTCATGCATTCAAGCCGCTTTGGAACAACAGGGCAGAGGCACGGACGTCGGCGATCCCGATGTGCCCACATTGGTGGCGACCCTTAAGATACACAAAGAAGCAGGAAAACATCACCAATAAGGTTTGTGCCTAGTTCTTTTCTCACTTAGTTTGCAGGAAAGCACTGGCATCGTGCCTTGTATCAAAATAAATAAAGCTGACAGGCACTTCAACAATTTCAACCCATCGTGGTAAAACGAACATGCCTAACCTATGCAGAGCGCAAGTTTGTCTACTTCTTTCGAAGGGGTTGTGGTGATGTCTGAACACCGAGTTCTGATTGGCTCTGATTGAAGGATAGCGGGAAGACCTCAAAGCAAGCTGCCTTGAGGTCTACCCACTATCCTTCAATCGGAGCCATTCAGAGCTCGGCGTTCTGACATCACCACAACCCCCGGAAAAAGAAACATATGAACTTGCGCTCCACATTGTCTGCTTTCTTTCTCCGCTGTTCTGTAACTCTCTTTCTCATTCTTTCTCTCGGGAGCACCCATGTCAGTGCTTAAGATCTGCCTTGTTCTGCTCCAGTCTTTACCTCTCTGCGTGCCTGAAACATCTCCATGTAGCCATGCTCAGAGGTAGTAGCTTTGCTGGCAGAGTTCCTTGTCTAAGTTAAAAGGATTCTGTTTCGAACAAACGAAATTGAAGGGCCCGCGTAACTTTCCTTTTTGAAACAATGTAAGCAAGGCACGATGCGGAATTTGGGAGTCACCCACTCTCAAAGGGGTTGTGAAAAAAAAAAAAAAAAGAGCTGACGTGATTTTAGTTTTTTTGGACATTCACAAACCTAACCCCAATATATCCCCAAAGAACAGAGAGTAAGACTAAAAAAATAACAAACCGTGTTCTTTGCACCACATGAGCAAACTGTGTATTGGCGCCAGAGTGTACAGCCAGCAATTGGAAAGCAATTGGAATCAAATGTAAAAGTTTGCAAGCTTACAGCTTACCGAAGGAAAACATTATGAGCGGAAAACTGATCTTGTGTACGAGACGAGGCCATCGGGCAGCGGAAGCAGACCGAGCACAGCCGTTTTCTGCCACATCACTCGAGTAACACCACCATCGATGACAAGGAGATGTGGACACAGAAACAGTTTCTGTTCGCCTCTGTGCTCATGTCTACTTGTCACTGTTCGTCGCTGGCAGCAGCAACAAGCAATATTGTCACGGGTGGTGACCAAAAGAAAACAGGAAATAAACAAGAAGAAATAAACGTTTAATGTGGCGAACTTGTGCCAAAAATAAAAGAGTACAAAAGATAATAATAGAGCGTCGCGGGCGTCGAAGTCGGCGTGGCAGCAGAGTCGAACGCTGGGGCGAGACTGACTCGACAAGGTCGCGGGCGGCCTCTTATCTAGAGTGCGCCGCTATCTCGAAGATTCGGCGAAAGCGGTTCGAGCGTCGCGTGATCGGGGCGAGAATGAACACGCACTTTCTAGAAAACAAAAGCAGGGATAAATGATAGAAGTTACGTGCGGTACATGAATAAACGGGAACTTTCTGGAGGACCGTGACCGAGCGTTGCTTTCTCAGCCTTGCGCGCGGCATTACTCCCCCCTTTAAAAGTGCATCGCCCCGATGCAGTGTAAAACAAATCAAAATAAAAAAGAACGATAAACTAAAGAGTCTTTTGGAGCACAAAAGGTCCACAGTCCTATCGAGCGTAGTACGGCTTCAGGCGCACGACGTGGACGACCTCAGGTCGTGGTGGGCGGCGTGACGATGTTCGTGTTCCGTCGGGCATCACCTCGTAGTTCAGTTCGCCGAGGCGACGAAGTACCTTGTATGGTCCAAAGTACCGTTTCAGCAGTTTCTCACTGAGGCCGCGGCGACGGATGGGCGTCCATACCCACACCCTATCTCCGGGCTGGAAGTGGACGTCCCTGCGACGAAGGTTGTAGCGGCCGGCGTCGACGCGTTGCTGGTCTTGAATCAGGAGTCGGGCGAGCTGGCGAACTTCTTTGGCGCGTTGAGCAACCGCCTGGGCGTCGTCGCTCTCGTTGTCAGATGGCTCATGGGGCAGCATGGCGTCCAGCATGGTCGTTACCTTCCGACCATGTACCACTGGAAAGGGGTGAATCCAGTGGTCTCTTGAACCGCCGTATTGTAGGCGAACGTGACGTAGGGCAGCACCTCGTCCCACGTCTTGTGCTCTACGTCGACGTACATAGAGATCATATCGGCGATTGTCTTGTTGAGTCGCTCCGTCAGCCCGTTGGTCTGCGGGTGGTACGCTGTGGTGCGGCGATGGCTGGTGTGGCTGAGACGAAGGACTTCTTGCGTCAGCTGGGCCATGAATGATGATCCACGGTCTGAGATCAGGACTTCGGGAGCGCCGTGCCGGAGGACGATGGATTCAATGAAAAACTTGGCAACTTCCACAGCAGTTCCGGAAGGAAGGGCTTTCGTTTCGGCATACCGCGTGAGATAATCTGTGGCGACGATGATCCAGCGATTTCCCGACGTCGACGGCGGAAAAGGGCCAAGTAGATCCATTCCGATCTGCTGGAAGGGTGCTGTTGGCGGAGGAATTGACTGCAAGAGTCCGGCCGGCCTCGTCGGAGGTTTCTTTCGTCGCTGGCATTCATGACATGATCGCGTGTACAGGTGGACGGTTTTGGGGAGCTTGGGCCAGTAATACTTTTCACGAATACGTGCCAGGGTCCGGCTGTAACCAAGGTGTCCGGACGTCGGGTCGTCGTGGCAGGCTTGAAAGATCTCCTCCCGAAGGTCGGTCGGGATTACCAGCAGCCATGGCGAGTTGTTGTTCCCGAAGTTCTCTTTGTAGAGTACACCTTGTCTAATGGCGAAGGTCGGCAGCGCTCGTGAAAAAACACGTGGCATCGCACTCCCGCGCCCTTCCAGGTGCTCTATTAGTGCGCGCAGCTCAGGATCGTCTCGTTGACGCCGGGCCATGTCGTCGATGTTCACTGCGCCCAGAAAACACTCGTCGTCATCGTCGTCGCTGCTGCCGGAAGGTGTTGCGACGGGAGCTCTGGACAGGCAGTCGGCGTCGCTGTGCTTGCGGCCTGACTTGTAGACGACGGTCATGTTGAACTCTTGTAGTCGGAGACTCCACCGCGCGAGGCGTCCTGACGGGTCCTTGAGGTTCGCAAGCCAGCAGAGCGAGTGGTGGTCTGTGACTACCCGGAACGGGCTCCCGTATAAGTACGGACGAAACTTTGTGATTGCCCAGACGACCGCAAGGCATTCTTTCTCAGTCGTGGAGTAATTTCTCTCCGCCTTGGTCAATGTCCGACTTGCGTAGGCGATGACTCGCTCGGTGCCTTCTTGTACTTGAACCAAAACCGCGCCAAGCCCTGCGTTACTTGCGTCCGTGTGAATCTCGGTTTCCGCATCCTGGTCGAAATGTCCAAGAACAGGAGGAGTCTGTAGTCGTCGCTTCAGCTCGTCAAATGCCTGCTGCTGTTCATCGGCCCATTCGAACTTCTCGGCGTCCTTCGTGAGGTGTGTGAGCGGTGCGGAAATTCTTGCGAAATCTCGAACGAAGCGCCGATAGTAGGCACATAGCCCAAGGAACCTTCGGACGGCCTTCTTGTCTCTTGGCGCTGGAAATGCTGTGACGGCACGAGTCTTCTCGGGGTCTGGGCGGACACCTTCGTTACTAACCACGTGGCCGAGGAACTTCAGTTCGTCATAAGCGAACCGACACTTTGACGGCTTCAGGGTGAGTCCGGCGGTCCGTATGGCTTGGAGAACTGCTCGGAGTCGTCGCAAGTGCTCGTCGAAGTCGCTGGAAAACACGACGACGTCGTCGAGGTAGACGAGACAGCTCTGCCACTTTAGTCCTGCCAGTACGGTGTCCATGACACGTTGGAAAGTTGCTGGCGCCGTGCACAGTCCGAAGGGCATCACTTTGAACTCGTACAGTCCATCCGGCGTGACGAAGGCTGTCTTTTCTCGGTCCCTTTCGTCGACTTCGATCTGCCAGTAGCCGCTCTTCAGGTCCATCGATGAGAAATATCGAGAGTGGCGCAGCCGGTCTAGAGTGTCGTCGATGCGGGGGAGTGGGTAGACGTCTTTCTTCGTCACCGTGTTCAGCTGCCGGTAGTCTACACAGAACCTAAGCGTCCCGTCTTTCTTCTTAACCAGTACGACTGGAGAGGCCCAAGGACTGCTTGAAGGTTGAATTATGTCGTCGTTCAGCATTTCTTGAACTTGCTCCTGGATCGCCTGCCTTTCTTTAACGGAGACTCTGTATGGCGATCGATGCACCGGGCGCGCGTCGTCCTCGGTAACGATGCGGTGCTTCGCAACGGTGGTTTGGCGCACCTTCGACGACGTGGCAAAGCAGTCGCGGTATTCGGCGAGAAGGTTAATCAACTGTCGTCGTTTCGGGCCCGGGAGTTTAGGGTCAATGTCGAGCTGCGCTGGCGACGCACTGTCTTGCTGAGGTGGTGAGGATTCGTCAGTAATGGCGGCGATGGCGGCGGAGTTTCGGAGTTCCTCGACCTGGCCCACGGCTGCACCTTTTGTGAGGTGTTGCGCTTCGTTTCGGAAGTTCGTCACGAGGACCACAGTGCGGCCATCCTGAAGTTCAGCAACTCCTCTTGCGAAGCCTATTCCTCTTCCCAGAAGCAACTGGAGGCTTCCTTCGAGCAGAACTTCGCCGCAGAAATCTTCGGTGATCCCGACGGGTACGAAAACACTCGACCGCGGCGGTAAGTTCACGTGGCTGGCGAGGACTCGGACCGCAGATGACGTCGCTTTGGGTTCCTCCGGTGGTGAAACAGGCTTTCGCAGCGTCAACTGGTTTGCTCCGAGGTCGATGACGGCGCCATACTCGCAGAGGAAGTCCATTCCGAGAATAACGTCCCTCGAACAGTCTTGCAGAACGACGAACTTTACAGGGCACGTCTCACCGTGGATCTCGACGCGAGCGGTGCATCGCCCGACTGGTGTGATGAGGTGCCCACCGGCGGTTCGTATTTGAGGTCCATCCCACGGCGTCGTGACTTTTCGAAGGCGGCGGGAGAGCCTCCCACTCAAAACTGAGTAGTCTGCTCCGGTGTCCACGAGTGCCGATGCGTCGTGGCCGTCGATGATGACGTTTAGGTTGTTGGACACCGTTTCAGGAGCGTCGTTTCGGTCTCCGGTAGCGTTCGAGTGGGGGCCCTCCGACGTTCGTGGAGGATCTTGGCGTCGGTCGTCTTCGGCAACTCCACCTCCAGGGGTTGCCGCGCCTAGTTTCCCCGGCGTGGAGCGAGGGGTGACAGGCTTTCACGTCGGGGTCGGTGCATCGGCGAAGCTGGACGTCGTGGTGACGGCGACCGGAACTCTCGGCGTGACGCAGGCTCGGGGGACTGGGGTCGTCGCAGGTACTCGTCGATCTCCCGAGGGCGTTCACCATACCGGGGGCGCGGGTCGCTTGGATGGAATCCGCGCAGCCCGAGTCGTCGGTATGGGCATCGGCGGTACACATGGTCAGCTTCCCCGCAGTGGTAACACAGCGGGCGTCGGTCGGCCGTCCTCCAGACGTCTGTCTTCCTCGGCGCAGGTCGCTCTGGGGGAACGTGCGCCTGATCTTCCGGCCGTCGGGGGTACTGCGGCGTTGGGGCGTCTCTTCGGGGTGGCGCCGTGGCTTGGCGGGAAGCTTGCGGCGGTCGTCGGGCCATGGCGGCGTAGCTCAACGTCGGTTCCTCCGGTGCCACCCTGGTGACGGGAACCTCTGGTTGGAGCGCGCGATGCACTTCTTCTCGGACAGCCTCGGCGATGGAAATGGTTGGCGGACGGCTGGTGGTTGGCAGCAACCTTCGCAGTTCCTCCCGGACAACCTCCCGGATAATTTCGCGGATCTCCGTACCAGGCACGTTTTCACCGCTAAGCAGCGCGGTTACAGTGACGCTTGGCTGCCGCTGGTAGTGGGAAGCGCGCGCTTGGAGGGCGCGCTCGATGTTTGTCGCCTCGCTGACGAAGGCGTCAACGGTTGCCGGCGGGTTGCAGACGAGGCCTCCGAAGATGTCGTCCTTCACGCCCCGCATCAAAATGCGCAGCTTCTTTCCCTCGGTGGCCTGAGGATCGGCGCGGGAGCTCAGGCGGAGCACGTCTTCCACAAAGCTCGTGACGCTTTCATTGGGGCCCTGGGTCCTGGTTCGCAGTAGGTCCTCGGCTCTCTCTCGGCGGTGGTGGTTGACGAACGTAGCCTTCAGGTCGGTCTTGAAGATGTCCCACGACGTCAAAGAGGACTCATGGTTCTCGTACCAGTGCTTGGCGGTTCCCTCAAGCGAGAAGTAAACGTTGTGCAGGCGTTGCTCGTCGGTCCAGCCATTGTGGCGGGCAACGCGTTCATACTGGTCAATCCAGTCTTCGACGTCTTCGTAGAGTTCACCGTGGAAGGGGGCAGCCGTCCGCGGTGCGACGGGCATGTAGACGACGGGAGAAGCGGCGGGGGCTTGCGACTGGTTGGCCATCGTCGTCTTCTGCGGCTTGGGCTTGTCCAGGAGCAAACCGTACTCAGGATCCTCTCCCTTGGTGCGGCGGCTGGTCCGAATTTCAGGTTCTGCGGTGAGTGGTCTTCTCACCGAGCCGGGAATCGGACTTGCACTGCGGTCCCTTGGAGGAGAACGCTGCACGGGCATGCGGTACCCCGCACCTCCACCAAAATGTCACGGGTGGTGACCAAAAGAAAACAGGAAATAAACAAGAAGAAATAAACGTTTAATGTGGCGAACTTGTGCCAAAAATAAAAGAGTACAAAAGATAATAATAGAGCGTCGCGGGCGTCGAAGTCGGCGTGGCAGCAGAGTCGAACGCTGGGGCGAGACTGACTCGACAAGGTCGCGGGCGGCCTCTTATCTAGAGTGCGCCGCTATCTCGAAGATTCGGCGAAAGCGGTTCGAGCGTCGCGTGATCGGGGCGAGAATGAACACGCACTTTCTAGAAAACAAAAGCAGGGATAAATGATAGAAGTTACGTGCGGTACATGAATAAACGGGAACTTTCTGGAGGACCGTGACCGAGCGTTGCTTTCTCAGCCTTGCGCGCGGCAATATTATTTCAGTGAAGGACTGAAAGCAGTGGAAGCACTCTTTGAGTACAAGCTGCATTTCGCACATTACATTCCAACAACAAACAGACGCACTTGAAATTTTGGTTAAAATGACAGCCCCGCGACAATTCGACGGGGCGACGAGAAATTAGCACATTAGAGCCCCGTTATAGTAAATCTGCATGTAGTAAAGCTCCGGTTATAGTAAAAGGAAGCACCGGTCCCAACTGAATTCCCGTTTCCTCTATAGCTACACTTCTGATATAGTAAACCGTCAAACCTCAAATATCAGTTATAGTAAATGGAATCTTAATTCAAACTCGCGGATAATTCACACTAACATGCAGGTCCCGTCCTATGTGTCTCTAGGGAGGAAACTCCTAATAATTCAAACTTTTCCTTATTCAAACAAAGTTTTTGTTCCCCTCGGGTTCAAATTAACAAGATTCCACTAAAACACGGCGATACCGATGAAGTGCATCAGCATACTTTCTCGGTGTGACCAGAGCAGATAAGCTCCTAGAAACTCTAAAAGTGTGCATTAACTACCAAAACGCAACAGGCTGCTGCACTACGTTGCACGATGATGGCTTTCTGAGGGAGCGTCAGTGGTGCTGCGGTCACTTGCGATTGTTTCTCTTCTCGGGGAATGCGATCGTCTGCCACGTCAAAACAATAGACCTAACGAAACCGAGAAGGTGGAGCTTTTCTTTTTTTGGGTGTTCGGGATTGAGCTGCACATAACAACTGATCCACATTGTAAGTGAACTGGGCTTGTTCAAAAAGCAGGTTACAACTGGGCGAAAAAGCAAATTGCGGATGAATTTAACATTTTTGTGGCAACAGTCGGGGCCTTGGTGGAAAATGGGAAGTATATTAAAGCAATAATCATTAATGGAAACAGTGGAAACTGCGAAAAGCTTCAAAGCTCCAAAAATGAGTGTGTTGAAACAGCACTGCTTGAGTGATTTCGACAAGCATGCTCTGCAAACATGCCAGTCAACCTGTTATTAGAAAACAAGATTTCAAGGGATCAAACAGACGGTCTGAACGTTTTAAGGCAAAGAACTGTGTCGGTCTTCATCGGAAGTCGGGTGACAAAGGTGCCGTTTTCTGACGCGACCATTGAATAATGGACCCAACAAGTGTTGCCCAGAGGAAGAACCCGAATTCCCCCCCCTTCAAGACCTCTTGTTGGCTTTGGACAGTTAGTGGGGCTCCATATGCAGCGGTTGCTAACGGGCAACACTATGCCCAGACGACAAGCCTCGAGAGATTCTTTCTCAAGTACAAAGCACCTACAAAACAAACAGATATATAAGTGAGTTCCTTACTGCAACATAATTGATATTTTTTATAGTTGTGGTGTTTGTTTTTGGACTAATATACATTTTATTCATTTTTACTCCCTTTTTAAAGCTTAAATAACAGATGTTTTTAGGGGCTCCCGAGATTGTAAAACTCCTGATATAGTAAAATTACTGCCCGGTTCCGAAAGGTTAACTATAAAGGGGTTCTACTGTATCACCAGCAAACCCAAACTTTTTAAGATTAAGCAGTATTCATTCCATTGAATAATTGCACCCACATTTTGCAAGATGAATTTGAAACTCATGTTTCTATATTCCCAAAGCCTCAAACAGAAGGTCACACAGATCACTTAAAAAAACAAAAGCAGTCTGCTGCGATTCCTCCTGGCAACGGAAGTCTTTTCGTTGAACAAGGAAAAAAACAATCTACATAGCTACTCTGAAAACATGAAGCAGTTGAGGTCTAATCCGATCGAGCAGACAAGTCAATCCTCTGACTCCTGCGAGAGGAACAGAGATGGGAGGCTCTTACCAACATGGACGAATCAGCTGGAGATGCAGAGGCCAGGAGGCTTCCCTTGGGATGCCATGCAACACTGGTAACGGGCTGGTGGCCCCGGCGGGACAGCAGGGAAGCGTAAGCAGATGACGGCCTGACCGGGAGGAACCATGACAGGAGCCTATTGCCTTTAAACCGTCAAAGACCGACTCGAACGAATCGACCAGGTAAGGGCAGTTGGTTTTCACTCATCAGACCATGCAGAGTTCTATACAGCTGGTGGAAGTTGCCAGATGTCTGCTAGTCTGGAAACTATGCTCATTGCTCCCTGGCACTCCATGCTCCACAGTGAACATTTCTTCCCCGATTGAGTTGAACCTAACCTGAACCAAACCGCATCAAGGAGAAATCCTCCTTGATACGGTGAACATTCTCCAGGAGAACCTTTATACCTAGCTTTATGGTACAATATGTTTGCAGTGCTAACAAGAAATATGAGCCTCAAGGCTATTCATTGATATCTTGCTTGCTGAAAGAAAGATTGAGGCAAAAGCGGAGGCCACTAAATCTGGCGAAATTTGAGAGGATGTTAGTTCTGCTCCTGTCTCAACTTTCTTCCAAGATAAAAGGTTCATGTGAAACTTTTCCAAATCTTCTATATAGTGTTGGAAGGAAATGTCAAAAGCACTACGGGAAAATTACCAGGTACCTAGTAGATTTTGTGCTTCAAGCTGCAAGTGTGCACTGGGCAAAACATCTTTCAAATAAACTTCGTAACAGAAGTACACAATGTCTTTTCCAAGTAAAGTGCACAAACTTTCATACCGCAATCTTTCTTTGTTCTCACCATACTTCCCTTTGATAAAACAGGAATTCACACCATAAACAAGAAAAAAACGTGCTTCTAAAGCAAAAGAAAAGAACTTTGCCCTTGGTTTGATATACAAAAGGTTGTGATTTCACTGATAGCTTCCATTACAAAATAAACTTGAGAGATGTGCCATTGCAGGTCAACCATAGTACTTTTTTTGGAAAGTACCAGAAAATTTACACCGAGTACATAATCCTGACACTGTACTTGGAGTAAAATGGGAGAACTTGAAGTGTCAAGGAAGCACTGCTTCAATAGATGCAAATGATTTCATTAAATATTTGGGAACACTTTTCTTAGAGATACTTTCATTATAGCAGTAGCAGCACTAAAGAAAAGCTAGACGTGAGTTGGTAAAACTTGCTCATACAGGTTTTGAAGACAAAAATTCAAGGGGTTTCAAAGACTTCCAGTGCCCTGTAAAGATATTTTCAGAGAAACCATACGGTGTTGTACCTGGCAGTTTTATAATAGCACAACTTATTCGTCACATTGCAAACAGATTTTATATTGCCTACTCGCGCATCTTGCATGGATTGTTCAGGTCCGATGATAGGTGGGGCCGTGTCGACAGATCGTTCATTTATGCGAGGCGTCCTGCTACTTGTGGAGCTATCCGCTGCCATCTTCTTTGGGTGTATGAAGATGGCAGAGGATAGCTCCACATGTAACAGGACGCTCCGTGTCTCACGCTCCTGATACGGCTTTTTAGCGCCAACTTTCCCATAGACGAGATACTGAACGTTTTTCTGCAGGGCTTGCATTTCGCCCGATACGAGTTCATTGGATTCGGTGCAACCCAGTGCCTGTATTCGTTGTTGTCAAGACAAGACCATTGGAAATTGCGCTTCCTGGGTACCACGCGCAACATCAAGTACATCCACACGCAGCAAGTGCCACACGAAACACATGCGGCTTGAGCCAAACAAGTGCAGATAACAAACGGCATGTGGAAATTCGAAGACCGTGGAGCACAGAGACAACACGAGGCAAGATCACGCGACGGCGGACCAGACAAAACCAAAACTACTTTCAACGCTGACTGGTGCTTAAAGGGGCACTGACACCCCAAAGGTCGTATTTATTTTTATTGTCTAAAACGATGCAAGTTGCAGCCACAGACACGCAAAAAAAACCGCATCGCGAAAAAAAATTTTCTTGCGCGCACGCGCGCCTTTTTATTTTTGGCGTTTGATTTTCCCGCCTCTCGCCTCCTCGCTTCTTTTGATCGGTGACATCAAAAATCAGGAAATTTAGAAGCTTTGTAGGCGGCATCTTTATAACATTTAATGACGGCAATCCTAAAACATGTTTTTTAACGCAATTGCGAACGCACTACGGCCCTTCTTTTTGAAATACCAAAAATCGGGAGTTCGTTGTGGTGCCGTCTCCTGGATTTGTATCCTCCAACGGAAAACAGGCGACACCGCTCAAAACCGGTCCGCCGCAACGCCGGCGCTAGCCGGCGCCCGCTCCTTTCCTCCTCGCTTTGGGTCGCCATGGCAACAGCAGGGAGTGGTGACAGGAAAGGGGACTCTCAGGTCTCCGCAATTTTTGACGTCAAGGCACCGGCGCCGATCGCGCAAGAACTTCGAATTCGGCATTTGGAAATTGTTTTTTTACTTCACGAATACTGAATTCCCAAATTTCAAATTTTGAGGGTAATGTCCCGGCATTGTTTTCGACCGTTTCGGATAATAAAAAAAAATATGATTTTGATGTGTCAGTGCCCCTTTAAGAAACATCCATTAAAGGGGGACACTACCTAAAAAAAAAAAGATTTCTGCAAAAAAAGTTGATTTTGAAAAATGACATATTTACATCCACCAACATCCAGAGAGTATTCCCAGAAAGTTCAATTAGTTTACACTGCATAGTTAATTTTTTTATATATTATTTTCTGTCCACCAAAGCTAAAGAAAAGGTAGGATTTGGAGCATTTTGAATGCATTTTTCTCCATTCCACTTTTTGGTATAAATTCCATTTTAGTCAATCTATGGTTCCATAATGGCAAAACAGGGAAGGCTCATTCTTCCCTTTTCCTGACTGAAATTTAATAAGGAATGAGGCTATGGAAATTTTTTGACACTTTACGGATGCCTTTTATAAAAATGTTATCATTTTGTCGAAGACACAAAAGACCAAAAAGTTGACCAATTTTGCAAAAGAGAAAATTTATATAAATAAATGACTTTTTACAAAAAAACTTTCCATAGCCGCACCCCCTAGGCACTCTGCTACATACTTAGCGAATAAAAATTCTTAACGTTGTTAAAGTTTTCTAACGATAGATTAACTAAACAATGTAGGCATATTGCAGATAGAAGCTGCTCTAATTTCCTTGCCATTTAACCGACAGACCTGAAATTTTGTCATACACCCTCTAGCATGAGCACCAGCCTACGCTGTAAATTTCATAAATTTTAAGACAAGAAGGGTTCAAAGGTTGACCCCCCTAGGGGGTCAACTAAGGAATTTATATTAATTGCGGTTCATTACTGTAAAATGACAACATCTGTAACTATACTCAAAGAATTCAAGGGTTTTCAAGCACTGTTGAAAATTCTCGGATTTTCAAGGCCTTGAGAAAGGCATTTTCAAATTCGAGGGGTTTCAAGGTTTTCAAGAACCCGTGCGAACCCTGTTGAATGTAAGCTAAAAATGGCAAAGGTCAAAGAAAGGTATAGTGGAGTGGCAGCTGGTACACTCACCTTCCTATGAGGGACATGGGATCCAGTTGCCACAGGACGACTCCATCTTGGCAGGCCACAGCCAGCAACGAGGCACAGTAGGGCCTAGGAAGATTACAGACATTTCTGGGTAAATGTGGATGCATGTATATAAAACTTCATACTCAATATATCAAGAGCAAAGCATGGAAATCATGCGATGACATCAGAGAACCATAGACCTCAGATTAAGAGTTTCAAGTCAGTTTGTTGTTCAAGTGAAGCCAGGTTTAGGCAACTACATGCAAGTCATGTTACCTTACAACAAAACTCAAGTTTATTTAGGAAAAGTTTTGAAGCCGCACAACGAATATATTTACACTTTCTCGTCATCCCTCAGGTAACATAGAACCTTTCTCTACAAGTCAAGTGCATAAGGTAAAGGCACAAGTGCATAGCCAAGAGGAGTAATCAGGAAAACCAAGCCAATATCTCTAAAATATAACATTTAAGATCTTTCTTTTGGTTAGACAAGCCAATGCGCCCACAGCGGCATTTACTTGTTACATTACGTTTGAACAAGACACAGTGGAAAGGAAGTTGGGTTAAAAACATGGAGAGTCTGCAAGCAAAACAAACTAATACCAAGAAATTACAAAGAATCTAATGAGCTTTGTGGTCACACAAACATCTATCGCAAGCAGAGTTTACCGCAAAATGAAAGCGTGTGTCTCACTTCCAGGCCATGTCAGTGATGTTCCTCTGCGACTTGTGCTTGAGCAGGGGCACAATGCCGACGTTTGGTGCATAGACGCGGACCAGGTCTCCGTGGGAAGCCACTGCGAATTTGGGGGTCTGTGGATGCCAGGCAAAAGCTCTCACGTGGCCGCGCCCCCTGAAGCGGAGAGTTGGAAGAACCGTTCAACCAACTGTCGTGCATGTCAACCAACAGAGACAATGACAAACAAATAGCACCACATCACCAACCAGGGTAGAACTTCCTACCGTTTTTGAGAAAGGACATTACGACGCTTCAGACAAGACACAGCGAAAAGAGGGTCTGCTGAGAATGGAATTCATGTTCTTCTTTGGTTGTCAAAGGTTGTCCCTGATGATTCTCCTATCATTAAAGCAGCCACAAAACTCTCTCTGGAAGTGGTGGGAACTGGATGTCAACCGCCACTGGATTGTGTTAATACGATATTCCTGTGAAATATCGGGGTTACCGAGTGGCCGACGCTTGTTGGATTTATTTCCATTATCCCATTTTTCTATTTCTGGTTGCACTGGAAATAGCCACACGGGGCACTCAACGTGTGGGGACCGACAGTAACAACCCTGTGTGCAAGGTTTTCTCCACAATTTTTTTTTCCCCACCTGGACTCATGATGTTGTGTTTGTTCCCGACTTTAACCTTTGCTTCAAACATGAAACTTAAGAGCTTCTACGATTCTTTTGTAAAAAGTCTTTAGTTCCATCCCCAGCAAGTTTGACTAAACAGATCATGCACTGCAAAAAGATTATCTCACTGTTCTTTGTTTAGGAAAAGGGACCTTTTCAAAGGAACTCAATGTGTTACATTGATGTGGCAATCTGTTAGTGAAAACAAAAAATAGTCAAAAAGGAAGGAAAATATTTTGCCTCATCAACTCTTTGTTGAGGGTTAAAACTAGCATGTGTAAAATAAAACTGAAACCTGCTTCACGCTTTATGAAAGTGAGGAGTTGATTTTAATCACCAACTTCCCAATGTAAAAAATAAAGAATGCCTCATGGAACTTTTAAGTTGTTTTGAAGGTCATGCCAGGTTTCAATAAAATGAATGCAGAATGACTTAAGCACAGAAGCACTCACCAATCCAAAGCCAGGGAGTACTCTTGACACAGTGCTTCTCCAGAGAGCTGAAAGAGACAGTATAACGGATCGCCTTCACATTCACAGCCAACAGAAAGATGGGAACAAAAACAATAAGGGGAAATAGCTGTGAGTAGCCACAGTCAAGTCTCACCAGCAGATGTGGGAAAATTAATCCGTGGGAGTAGAACCAGTTCATGCCAACCATGAGAGACTTGGCTGCAAACCTTGCAAGAGACCATGCTGGAAGAAAGAGAACATTCAGTCTGGATGAATTAGAGTCATATGAGAGCCGTGGCTTTTCAATGGTGTCAACTCTTTGCTCCCAGTCCTTTCATAGATGGTGGTTTAGCAAACATGGCTTTTTGCTAGCCAAGTGCATTATTAAGGGTTCTGTGCTTAAAAATTGCTTATTTTGGAAAAAAGAAAAATGACTATTAGAGTATTTGTTTTGTTTAATGGAGTTTTCCTCATATGAACCAATAGTCAGGGATTTGAGATACAGTTTTGAACATGTTGATGCTGTCTTACTCAGAAGAAACCTTGTGAACTCTAAAAGAATTATATTTACATGAGGCATGCATTGTGCAGTATTGTGATCGGTCTGAGCCATTTTGGAGCACCTTTTGGAGCAGCAAAAAGAACTTTTGGAGCATAAGTTTACACTTCATTTTCATTCCCACCACTGCAAATATTATACATTAAGATTAATGTATTAGCCTGTCCATCAAAAGACATTGCCCGCTTGGCCTTCCCACTTCTGTGCAACTTTCTGTTAGCATGAATTGCACGGCAGGTTTGATACCCTCAAAGCAGAACTAGCTGTTACGTGTATAAGTACCAGGCACAACAACAATAAGCTGAATGATGAAGGACAGTATAAACTACTGCGAATTGTTATTTTAGGTACATAGCCAAAGGTAAGCCAAGCAGTATCTTCCACGGAAATCATGTTAAAAACAGAATAGCGTTGAGCACCAAAGTTGATGTTTCATTAAAATCCAAAAGGTTGTAATAAAACTGCAATTATCAATTCAGATTAAAAAAAAGGTGTTATCAACTGATTAACATCAATTAAAATTTATATGTCAACTTCAAAACAAAAATCAGCACATGAAATATAAATAAGCTTTAGAAACAATTCAGTCAAACTCATTAAGGTTATCCTAAAGTTTCCATCCACTCCTTCAGCTAAATGAGTTTTAATTTACTCCCTTCACTACGCCATCACACAGATGGAACCTATGTAAAGGTAAACTCTAAACCAAAGAGTTGACTTTAAAAAAAAAAATATATATATATATAAGCTTACAGAGAAGTCCATATAAATCTTCCCACAATACACAAGTATCCTTGTTGAATCTCGAATCTGAACAAATCATCAGAATATTGTAGTCTATCTTATGTACTAGCCAGCTTTATTCAGGACTCTTTTTTACTGCAGGGTAGGGTCAGCACTTACCACACACTTTTTTGTTTTTTTAATATATTTGACATTTGTGTGCAACGCCTAGCTCTAGAGAGGTGCATTCCCCTTAGTATGTGGCTGCACTGCAGTGCATCAGCGCAATGCAAGAAGCGCACTCAAGGAAGCTATCTAGTCCACCAGACCAAACCATGAGCATTGCGTGACTTCCGAATACTGTCAGTGTTCGATACAGAGATAAAATCGAGTAGTACATCATTTAGGGCAATAATCGAAAGTTCCGATTCCGAAAATTCGGACAAGCCTATTGTAACAATCGGGCCGTGTGGCGGGGCCTCGGCTATTATATTTTCAGTATTAATGGAGTGAAATTATGTGTTGCCGCAACGTTGGTGCAAATTTTTCACGTTTAGTCAAAATGTAGCAGGACGCAGCAGGGTAAGTAAGCACTTTGGCACAGTTTGGCTCAAATGGCGCAGCAATCACATTACAGATGGTGCAGCAACTGTGCGGTTAGGGGAAGGCTGAAAGAGAGAGATGCAATGCACAAAATTTGAAAGAAGGCCTAGAGCGTGATTTTTGGTTGCTTTCTAGAGGCAGCAGAAACAAAGCTAGCCCACTAGCAAAGCTTGCCTTTTTTTCTCTTTGACACATTTGTTTGAGTGGGCCCAGAAGACCTCCTCCGAGTTGCGTAACTAAAATCTTTCTGTTTGCATGGTTCTGTCATCAAGAAAGGATGCCCCAACAGGAAAAGTGACTGAGGTCGCAGCTATTGACATTGCTCAAATGCCACTGCTGACATGCAGTAGCAGAAAAGATCCCTAAGGATCGTACAATGGGGCTATCCAAATGTGTGCATTGTGCAACATTACCTTCACGTCCAAGCAACCATCCCCCTCCACGGGCAATAAACGACAATGTTTGGTGAATAAGGCAGCGATAATTATAACGGGCATCACTATTCAAAGGCCTCAGATACCCCTAAAAATGAACTGACCTTTTTGGCATGAAGCACCCGATAATGGTGTCAACACACCACCCAATTAAACTTTTGTTGCCAAGTTTCGCATTAACTAAAACAAAATAAGGCCACACTAAAACTGTGTATCACTGTAGAACAACGCGACATCAGAGATTCCAGAAACAGGAGTTGTTTCACTCCTTGTGATTAGACGTTAAAATTTTCTTTAATTCAAAACGTTTTCGGAGTTTCGGTGGTCAAGAATTATGTTTAATGGACTCAACTTTTTTTATTAACGAAGATTTGTCTCAGATGACAGATTACCTTTCAAACATTCAGAGTTGCATGTCATTATCGCACGCGGCTGATGAAGAGAGAGCGAGAGAAACCCCCGAGCAGCAAGTTATGGTCCAGCGATTTTTTTGTGCTAAAAAACTGGACCTTTGTGTTGCAAATATTTCCTTTCCAATTGTCGAAAGCTTATGGGTTGCGTTTCCGTAAAAATCCAGGATCACATCAATGCTCTTTCAGTGATTCTCTAACGAATTGGGAAACTCACCTGGGGATGTTTCTCTGTACCGTGCAAGCTGCTCGAGAAAGCCGATAAACCCCTTGTCACGCCTGAAATGCAACATGCGGTAATTAAAGATAAGACAAGGAAATGAAGTTGAACAAACCAATGAGGTAGAAGTAAGGCAGTAAGCTGGGCAAGCTGGCAGACAGACATAATGAGAAAAACAGCACACAAGAATGAAGCCACAGAAAAGGGACACATAAGAACAATGCTTCTGTGTGTCATACGAGCTCCTTTTCTGTGTCTTTGACCTCATGCACCGCTTTTCTCATTAAGTCAATGAGGTAGATACCAATGAAACACCCAAAATGCCTATGGGCGACACAATGTTGTAGGCGTTGAGAACACGACCGTCAATAAAACGACTTGTCAACAAACCTCAACTAGGTTAGCACCACTTACCACGAGTTCACTGCTTGTCTCCAGATGGATTCGTGCTGAAGCAGGAATGGCGGTGCGGTGCTGTCGCTCGACACCGACGACCTGACCGTTTCTCGGGCGACAGATATACATCGGTAGGTTGTTAACTGCGAGAAGAAACGACAAAAGAGATACATTCTTGAACGAGCCAGTCGATACTTGCAAACCATACACTGGCTTATTCACGGCTCTCCTCTTCGTAAGCTACGACCCCTAGCAATCCCTATTGTTTTGTAGAAAAACTTTTCAGTGACGAATGTTTCATCGACGCGGTGACATTTTGTGGAAACTTGTTTCCCGGACCGCATGCTACGGCGACATTTCATAAAAAAAAAATTTATTTTGCTAGGTGGATCTGATTGGGTAAATAGCTTCACTTCAATCACTGTAAGTATACCAGGCAGCTCTGACACCTGAAAAACACTTCCGTGAGCCCTAAAGAAGCTGTGATACAGGCTTTAGTTGAGCTAGTCTGTTCAGTTTTTGTTTAACGAGGACGTTTTCTGTCGAGAACTGAAAACAGCAAAATCGAGATGGGCCTATGCCGAAGCGAGTCGATCAATGATTTTACGATTCTAAATAGATACATGAGCATGTCTCAACTTTCAACAACAGAAATTTAAGGTTTCTTTCCAGTTACATTATGTACTAATTTTGAAAATATGAAGAATCTAGTCGCGTTGAGACGGTCAACATAGGTTCATGGCTCTCTGGTATCGCACAGGAGATCGCAATTCAGGAAAACCAATATAACTAACTTTTCGACAATATCCAGCCACACCCGGCGGCGGAAATGAGCCTTCAGCTAAGTGTTGTAGATGATAAAATCGAGTCAGTGTCACCACCTCAAACTATCAATAGTAAGACAAATTCAGTTACAAAAAGTTACAAGCTGAAACAGCAATTATCATAAGAAAACTTGCACGCACCTTGCAAGCGTACCCTATGTTCATCGACGGTACAGCATTAAGTTTGGTGCGTGCTTCATTCAGCACAGTCGAGAGGACGGAGTTCGGGAAAAGTTTTTTCGGTTTACGGACGCTACCTACTGCCGCCGGAGATCGGAGTCATGAAGAAAGCGATGGAGCTTAATGACATTGCAGCCGCACTTGCCAGATTCCGTGCACAGTACATAGGTCCTCAGACAGTATTAGATGCTTTCTGTTGTTATTCGTGCACCCTATAACCGAGCAATGGTGTCCCGATGACCGGGGACTGTCACCATCGAAGCCTGTGGCTCTCTATAAGTTTGGGAGTTCAAAACAGAGAAGTGCGAACGAAGTTCGGGCAACGCACAAACCAAACACTGGCGAAGCCTCTCATCCGGGACTTTCACTCTTTCTACACAACCAGAAAGGGGGAAAGTGCCGGTAGCCCTTTCCTCCCTGCTCCCTCGCCCTTTCGGTAAAACGGTCTATACGAGACTTACCAAGCTTCGCGTCGTGCGTATAGCCATTTCTGGTCGAGGCGCACGACCTCGTGCGTATAGCGTTACTCTTTAAATCACTGACTCTCATCCATGATTTTCGAACGCTGCACTGCTGAGTGCAAGTCGGTGGTCTTTGCTGGTATGCTCGTACTCTTAGCAAGCACTAGCATTGATCTCATCTACTAGGTTGACATCCGCTTTCTTATGACCGCGAGCTCATATTACTGGCACGAATTCGAATGGTGCAGCACTATTTCCAGCTCTCATGGTTCGGCCTTTGCGAGATCCATTTCGACGTGCCACGCAAATACGCTTACCTGTTGGCCAAAGTTTGCCCATTCCTGCTCGGTTCCTGAATGCAGGTGCCCATGCTGCTCATAGAGGGTCGTTAAACCTTTTCCGGGTGGATCAGGGAACCCAGAAAGCGAGCACATCGTAATCTCTGTGGTGCTCAACGCTCATACAAGTTTCAAAGTTTCGAGCACCACATTCCCGCCATGACAGCTACTACAAAGAAAAAAAAAATAATAGCTTGAATAATTGAACATCATAGATAAAAAAAATTAATTATCACAAATAATAGTGCTTATTTTATATTACTGTAGATGATAATTTTTTTAATAGTAGAAGAAGCTCCAGCATTCGCAGAATTTAAATACAACAATGCACATTGTGACAACTGCGTGTCGACGGCCATGTTCTAAGCGAAAAGTGAAGAATGGCGGCGTGTTCGAGTTTTGATGCCATCAATAATTGATGTGATGAAAGCATCCTTTTTAGTATTTGCTGCGATGTCAGTTCCCAGAAAGGCTGCAGCAGTGGACTTCAACATTCTCGATGACGTGAGATCTAAATGGCGTTTAATCTTACAACTCTGTCGGCATTGTTTGTTGAAGTTATCGAGTCCTTATCGGTGACTTTGCTCCCCACCGTGTGTGATGTTTACTGCTTTACTTCCAGGACTTCTGGGGTGATTCCGAGGATGAATCAGCTATTGGAGATCTGAAGTCCCCAGAGAGCGTTGTTCAGCATGCTGAATGTTCACTTCTCGCCGAGAGCAACGAGGAAAACAGCATATTCCTGGCAACTGGCCTCAACACCGAAGATCTCGACACTTGCTTTGATGAGGACTTCGACGACTGCCAGGAGAAACGAGACGTAGAAGTGAAGCCAGAACAGTCCGAAGACCTAAAACGATCGGAGATCCCGGAGTCCTTCAGCGACGGCTCTAACAGTTTGATTTTCGATGACGAGGAGTTCGAAGTAGTGCCGAGGAAGCGAAAATTCCCCGGTCCTGCGGGGATCCTTCCAAAAACAGTAGGTTTGAAACTCTGGTTTCTTAGCTAACTTCGGTGACGTACGGGGCTTCTCGACCAATCAAGGTTCCCAGTAATGATTATCTAAGCCTCTGGAGTGATGTCATTTATTTATTTGTTCCTTTTACACCTGAAAGGCCCTGGGCGTTACATTAGGGTGTGGTACAAAAACAGACAAGACAAATGCAGAAACATATAACAAGTAGTGCAGATGTAGCATTGTATGGCGTCAGCCCCCTCAATATACGTGGCTTGCACGTGATGTCATCGCATTGTACGAATCCTAATTCCTGCTTGTTCTTCCTGATAAAAACTAATTTAGTGGTGCGAAGTACTGTCAGCACAGAATGAAACCCGAACGTTGGAACGCCCGGCCATCGACACAGGCTGCTCCACCTGGAGGGCCCGAGAACTAATGAAAATGCCCTCGGATGCAAGGGTGCGGGTCCTACTAAAATGTGCTCGACCCTCGCGCGGCGCGTCTGGGACTTCCGCGTTTTGCCGGTGGCGCGCTGTAAGAGCCGTCATTCGGGGTGCTTTTGTGTTGTCGCCCGGTCGACACCTGCGGTTTGCGGTCGGCGCGAGAAAGTCGATGCTAGGAGCAGCAGCAAGCTGCTTGCGCGCACGCCAGCGGATCGCGTTAATGGTGTCTTCTCCTCCTGGCGTGCGCTTACAGTGTGCCACCAGCAAAGCACTGAAGTCCCATATGCGCCACGCGAGGGTCAAGCACATCTTAGTAGGACCTGCAAACTTGCACCCCGGCGCATTTTCATTAGTTCTCAGGGGCCCTCCAGGGGGAGCAGCCTGGGTTGATGGCTATGCGTTCCGGCGTTTGGGTTTCATTCCGTGCTGACTGTACATGTGACAGAAGGTATACACACGCAGCAGCTTGGTCCTTTACAATGGACGCTGACATGATCTCAATGCAATGAATGTATTGTATTGTTTTCTCCCTCTGCACTGTAGCTTGTCGTAGAGAATGAGCTAGAGCGGACTCCAGGGTCACTGGAAGTGATGGGGGATGCCATTAACTGGGAGGGAAGAGAAGGTAATGGAAGATGACAATAACAAAAGTGTACATAAAGAACACTGAAGGCTCGCAAACTAACTTTGAGGCTCCGAAACGGAGAATGATCAACCCTTCTCACTTAGTGCACATGGTTGGGTCTGTTTAGTTTTGTGGGTCAGCCAGCATCAATTAAAAAAAAAAAGTTTTACTGCTCGACTCGACTGACTGCTTAAGTCTAAGGGGACCCCAAGAAGGCTTTCAAGGAGCCCAAAGGGCCTGCGGACCCCCATTTGAAATCCCATGAGCTTAAGTCTAGTGTTGAAGCTGCGTGCTACTTTCTCCACTTCTGTGGTAGAGAGAAACAAAATGCGATCGATCGTGACGCTAGCCTGTTGTACTGCACGAGCTTGTCAGCTGGTAACATGCAGGAGAGTGAAAACATAGGCGAACTATGAACTGGCAAAGGTGTGATTAGTTTTGTGTTGTTTTTAATAATTGTCTCCATGCAGCCCAAACATTCATAAAATTCCACAGCAAGTTGGAACTTGCATTAGCATACTGCAATCGTTTCTTTCAATGTTTTGGCAGAATGCTTACCCATCCTTCTTCGAGATTGGAAAAGCTGCGGACGAAGCAAAGGCCTCCAGAAAATCAGAGTTGCCCGACGTAAGTGTACACCTCCCGCTCACATGTTGCATGGTTTCATAATTTGTTCAGCATGAATCGGCACAATTCGGTTTGCAGGAGCTGCTCTGTACGCCCTGGAACTGCGAAGATGACGACCCTGATTCTCCCTGGCAACTCATGCGGCAGGACATGGACGTGAGTGCCGGTGATCACGACGACCTCGCTGTTTACACCATTGCCTGGGCGCTCAAAATGGTAAGAGTGACTTACCAGAAATCAGATTCGATTGCTGATTTAATCAGTCTTAACACAATTGCACCCTTTCCCCATTCTTTCTGGCATGTGGCTCGGAGAGTTGGGAGGTGAAGGAGAACATTCACATACACTGCATCATTAATGAGCCACTGGACAAACATTTTTTGGAATTTTGAGCACCACCCTCATAATCTTCGTTGCTGGTTTTATTTACGAAATTGACTGCAGGTAGAATCAACCAGCTACATCCTTGAGGTTGTGCCTAGGAGTGGCATAGCCAGCGGAGTAACTGGTGGTGCTAAAGTATGATAAAAAAATCCCCCCCCCCCCCCCCTTAATCCAAACAAAAACAAAGGAATTCTGGCTGTTCCCCTTGTGCCTATTGCATGGCTTTCTTCCGTGACAAGCTTATGTTTTTTATTGCTCTTCTACTAGTGAAGAAAGTAGTGCTCATCCCCTTGTGGACAAAGTATAGAACAAAACCGAACGCAAATTTCCTGAGTTGTACCACTATGGTATTCAAACTATGGTGTTTTGTGATGGGTCTTATTGCTTTTAAAATCATATTTATCTAATTGAAAACAAGTTTTGGTGATAAATAATATGCGCTCGAAAGCCCATCTTGTTATTTGTGGTGTGCCACGAGGTAGCATATTAGAACCACTACTCTTCTATGTTTATCTTAACGATATTGTGCACAATAGCCTGACAGCCAAATTTATCATATATGTGGATGACACTAGTACATAGTTTCTTGGAAGTGACGTTCAGGAGCTCATAGAGAAATGTAATGAAACAAAGAAAAGGCTAGAAAAATGTTTATTATCTAATTCTATGCAGGTTTATGAAGCAAAAACAATGGCAGTTATATTCAAATCAAAAACCAACCGCATTTCCACACGCCAGGACATAATCCTAAATTTATGTCGTATAGAGGAGGTGTTATACTCCAAGTGTCTCGGCGTTGTATTTTCTTCCGACATGTGGGAAGATCACGTTAATCACTTACTAACAAAAATAGCTCAGATCACTGGTGTGGTTGGTCGTGTTGGACAACCTTCTTTCGACGCAAATTAAGTTGCTTCTTTATAATTTACTTTTTCACTCACATCTAAACTATTGCCAGCGGGTCTGGGGACAACTACATTTTCAAACCTACAGCGTGTTCATTTAATGCAAAAGAAATGTACGCAACACATCTATAATGCACTGTATGGAACACCAAGTGTAATTTTCTTTCATCGTTCCCGCATGTTCAGAGCCTACAACCTAAGTATATAGATGCAGTTTGATTGTCCACTATAAATTAGAAACACAAAAGAATAGTATACGTAATCTGGCACAATCTCAAATAAAAAGCTTTCGTTATTCTACAAGACATAAAGAGAACTGGATAGTAGTACCTACAACTCGACTACACTCCGTAAGAGTGCCTCTGTTATTCACTGCCATCTCTATGAAATAGCTAACACATTGTTAATTTTGATAAATACACTTGCAGGTACACTGAACTTTAAGCAATGAACAAAAGAAGAGAAAGCTTTTTTTTTATGTTTGTGAGATATGTTAAAAAATAATTTTGTCGAATTTTCTGGGTTCTGTTTTTTTTTTTTTGTGTTCAGCTTTCCGATCCCTTTGTCTTAGTGTAGGCAAAAGGCACTGCGGTCAATTCCTTTTTTTGGTAGTGGTTGTCGCCTTTAATAAAACAATTTCTTGTGTTCTTTTTATTTTACTTTTCCTACCCTTGCTTTGTACTTGAGGGGGCTGAGGACCAGTCAAGCTGATCTGACAGCTTTTTATCTTCAGCTCCCACCATACTTACATGGTAATTGAACTATTATTATTATTATTATTATATTTTGTGCCACACGGGGACTGTCTATTGCAGTGGCTATCAAATGGGGGTCCACAAACCTTTTAGGGTCCCTGAAGGCATTTCTTGGGGTCCCCAAACAAAGCCTTCATTTTAATTGATGTTGGTTTTTTTTCCCAAAGCTAGATAGACTAAGCTGGGGGTTCTCAAACTTTTCCATCCCAGGGAACCCCAGCGAGCCTCAAAAAATCCCAAGGACCCCCCCCCCCCCCCCCTTTGCCTTATTGCCAACCGACAATACTGGGCAATAAAGGCGCTTGGATAGTGAACAAGAGTTTCTTGCGCTAAAAGAATAAGACAAAATGGAGGACTACAAACAGAATAAGAAGGCAGAGGGGTAAACTTGGGGTACAGTGTAAAATATTTATATATATACATATTATATGGAGGCTGAGGTTGCTTTGTCCACGAGACCAACTCAATCCATGGCTCAGTCCGTGGAAAATTGAACTGGGGGGGTGGGGGGGGAGGGGGGGGAGGGAACCACTGCAATCTGGGTGCTCGGGGAACCCATGAGAACTGCTTGCGGAACCCCTGTGTTCCATGGAACCCAGTTTGAGAACCTCTGGGTTAAGCCATTTATGCTGAGTAAATAGGGCTGGTCACTCTCTGTTTCAGAGCTTCAAAGTTGGTTTGCATGCTTGTAGATTTATTCATTTACCCCTTGGTCATTGTAATTGTCCGATAGATCCCCCCCCCCCCCCCCCCCTTGGTGGATGGGGTCCCCTATCATTTCTGCTATTCCAGAAAGGGTTATGAAGCATCGGTGGCTGAGAACCACTGGTCTACTGTATGGGACAGTTTGCCAGCAAGCAATGAGCTATGCCTGCTGACTACATTTTTCTTTATCAAATATCTTTTGGCTGCTTCTTCTGTTTTTGTCACCTGCAATGGCTGTTGTATTTTCCGGTCTATAGTTCGCAGACTGTATATGTTTAGGAGTTGAAATTTTAGGCTGTGCGGTCTATCTATGTGTGTGGACTTTGTTTTTCAGGATCGTTCATTATGACGAGACGTGATGGATTTTGTCGATGTGTTGTATGTCGGCCAGAAGCGAGGAACAAGCAGGTTTCCAAAGGCGAAAGGACAGGTTTATTCCATCATGCTCATGGATGTGGTGTAACTGAGCAAAAGAAGGCGGTAGCCAGCGGAGCACCGCTTTTTATCTTTTAGTGGCGCATGCGCCGTACTACGATATTCTGTTATCGGCGGCGCGCGCCCAGACATGACATTTCCTCCCTCTTTGTTTGAACACGCTCAAAAAGGTTAAGATCCGGCTTGAAATCTTTCGGGAGGTTTCCGGGTTCTTGCCGGATACCGTCGGGCAGCAGGCGCTTGTGCTGCTTCGGCTGGGACAGTTCCGCCAGTAGGTGACAAGGACGATGGTTGGGGTGCGTTGTCGCTCGGTTGAACCAACAAGAACTCTGTGCCTTCCTGGTCAGCGTCCTCGTCGGCAAGGCTTGGAGTTCTTAGCAGCTGGTCCTTGTGCCGACGCCAGGTGAAGCTGCCTCTGGAGGTGGTGGCGCGTACTTGGTAGGAAACAGGGCCATGCTGCGCAAGAATCACTCCAGGCACCCACTTGGGTTTGCCACAGTAGTTACGGATGAGCACATGATCACCAACGGCAAAGTCACGATCGTGCCCACGCCGGCTTGCAGTCTGCATGAACTGTTTGCGGGCTACCCTTTCCCCCACAGAAGGCTTTACAACGTCTAGGCGACTGCGCAAACGTCGCCCCAAAAACAAATTGGCGGGTGACTCGTTCGTTGTGGCGTGAGCCGTGTTGCGGTAGCTCTGCAGAAACGTCTGCAACTTCACATGCAAAGGCGCACTCTCCTTGTTTTTACGGAGGGCGTTCTTGAGGGTCTGTACAAAACGTTCGGCTAAACCATTTGAACTTGGATGGTAGGGAGCTGTCAGGACGTGACGAGAGCCAATTTCCTGTGTGAACTGTTTAAACTCCCGTGACGTGAACTGAGGACCATTGTCTGACACGATAGTTTCAGGGTTGCCAAAACGAGAAAAAAGTTCTCTCAAAGTGTTAATCGTGCTCTCCGTCGTGGTTGAGCGCATCATGAATACTTCTGGCCACTTGGAGTGGGCATCTACCACAACAAGGAACATAGACTGAAGAAAAGGTCCAGCAAAGTCTATGTGAACACGTTGCCACGGCGTTGTGGGCCATGACCACGGATGGAGGGGTGCCTTGGCAGGCGCACTACGTTGCTCTTGACAACTTACGCAGTTCTTTACGCTGCGCTCCAGGTCCGCCTCGATCCCCGGCCACCAAACGTAACTGCGCGCGAGCTCCTTGCTGCGCACAATACCCGGATGGCCTTCGTGAAGTTCATCCAGCAGCAGGGATTGCAGTTTCCCTGGGACGACAACTCGCATTCCGAGCATGATGCAGCCCTGATGAATGGTCAACTCGTTGCGTCTGTCGAAGAAAGGCTTTAGTTTCTCGTCAGAGACAGACGCAGGCCAGCCTGCGCTTGTGAATTCTTTCACTTGGCACAAAACTGGATCTCGCGCTGTTGCACGTGCTATATCACTACTAGATACCGGCAGTGATTGCAGTCGCAATGAGTAGAATGATTCCTCATTTTCTTTGGTCTCGTTTCCAACGGTCGGTAGTGGAAGACGCGAGCAAAAATCTGCTTCGGCATTCTCGCTTGATCTCTTGAAGATAAGATCGTAGGTGTAGGCCGACAATGCGACTGCCCAACGCTGCAATCGCGCAGCGGCAATGGTTGGAATTCCAGTTTTCGAACCTAAAATGGTCTGGAGTGGTTTGTGGTCCGTGACCAAAGTGAAGAGCCGACCATAAAGATACGAGTGGAATTTCTTAACTCCAAAAATAATGGCTAGTGCCTCTTTCTCGAGCTGACTGTACCCTTTTTCAGCGTTCGATAGCGTACGCGAAGCGTAAGCGATGGGTTTAGCGCTGCCATCTGCGTAAACGTGAAAAATTACAGCACCTACCCCGTACTGAGAGGCGTCACACGCTAGCTTTAGCGGTTTGTCGGGGTCGTAGTGGGCCAAGGTGGGAGGCGACGCCAGCTCGGCTTTGATGGTGTTGAAGGCTTCCTGGCAAAGCTGGTCCCAACACCATGGCTCGTCCTTGCGCAGCAATCTGTAAAACGGTTGGGCTGTCGTTGCAAGATGGGGCACGAACTTGGCGTAGTAATTGACGACACCCAAAAAAGACTGGAGCTGCTGCTTTGTCTTGGGCTCGGGAGCCTGGAGCACCGCCTCCACCTTGTCAGACGACGTCGAGATGCCGTCAGCACTGATCCTGTGACCTAGATAGCAAAGTTCAGGCTGAAAAAACGAACATTTTTCTTTCTTGACTCGAACTCCTCGTTCAAGTAGACGCTTCAACACTGCTTCAAGGTTGGCCATGTGTTCTTCCGTAGTCTTGCCCGTGACTAAAATGTCATCTAGATAACAACAAACGCCGCTCAAACCTTTCAGCATGGTGTCCATTATTCTTTGAAAAATTCCGGGTGCTGACGAGATTCCAAAAGGAAGTCTGTTTACAATGAACAGCCCCTTGTGCGTGTTCAGCGTGAGGTAGCGTTTTGACGATTCTGACATCACCACCTGCTGATAAGCTCGGTTAAGATCTATCTTCGAAAAGAGTTCGCCTCCTGATAGGGCCGCGAATAGATCATCAACTTTTGGAAGTGGATAACGGTCAATATCAAGACAAGGGTTGACAGTGGTCTTATAATCGCCGCAAAGACGAATGCCCCCGTCCTTTTTGATAACCGGCACGACAGGCGTGGCGTATTCTGCTGTAGTCACCGGAGTGATAATGCCCATCTTTTCCATTTTCGACAACTCCGCCTCAACAGCCGTTTGCAACGCGAACGGAACGTTTCTCGCTTTTAGAAATTTCGGTTTCTCGTTCGGTTTGAAGAAAAGTTCTGCTCGTTCTTCAGTTATAGTTCCGAGCTCATCGTTGAACAGTGGCTCGTACTTTGACAGCAAAGAGTCAAGCTTCTGTTTTATACGTTTAGAAGCAAAAACGTCTGACCTTGAGATGTGATTCAGCTCCCAGATCTTGTTCCAGTCGAGTCGTATCGTTCGAAGCCACTCCCGGCCCAGTAGTGGCGGCCCGGCTCCATCGACGACGTACAGTGGCAGCTGTACTGACGCCTCACCATGTTGCACATTGACTGTCGCAACGCCTTGAAGTCCAACCAGGGCTCCCGTGTAGGTGCGAAGCCTGACTACAGTTGGCGTCAGTTTCACAGACGGAAAAGACTGGTGAAACTGTTTAGCAGACATTACAGTTACCGCTGCTCCTGTGTCTAGTTCCATTTCAACCGCAGATCCGTTGATCACCATCTGCACCGTCACTGGGGTAAGGCTGGGCGAAGACACGCCGTGTACGACGGCTAGTCGTCCTTCAACTTCCAGCGTTTTTACCCTTTTTCCTGGCGGACGTTTCTTGCCCCCTACGTCAGTCCCGCTTCGGCAAACCCTTTGGATGTGACCATTCTTGCCGCACTTGTGGCATACACTCTGCCGATGAGGGCACTCTTGACTGCGGTGCCGTGACGACCCGCAGCGATAGCAGCTGTCCCTCTGCTTCTCATTCCCTGCTTGCACCTTGTGCACGTCAGTGACGCTTGAGTTGCCGACGCGAGCCTCAGCCGCGCTTTGCTTCGCAGCTTCCATGGCTTGGGCGCGTTCCACCGCTTTCTGGAACGTTAGCTTGCTGTCTTCCGTGAACAGCACGCGCTGTATGTCTTCCCTTAATAATCCGCACACGAAGCGGTCGCGGAGTGACTCGTCCAAAACGCTTCCATAGTCGCACGTTTGCGACAGTTTTCGAAGTTCGGCGACGTACTCGGAAATAGACTCGCCTTCATGTTGCGCTCTCCGGTGAAACTTGGCTCGCTCACCGATGATGGACGGCTTGGGTGACAGGTGGTCGCCGAGGGCCTTCTTGAGGTACTCGAAGCTCTTCGTTGAAGGCAGCTCCGGAGCAGTCAGGAACTTCAGTAGCGCGTAGGTCTTCGGACCGATGATGCTGAGGAAGGCGTGAACTTTGTCGCTCTCTGGAACTCCGTTGACGATCAGGAACGACGTTAACCTTTCGTCGTAAGAAGCCCAGTCGCTGGAAGACTCGTCGAATGGTTCCAGATAACCCATTCGACCGGCGAAGTGCGTCCCGGCTTCTTCGCTCATGATGGCTGTCGATGCTATGTCCGCCCCTGCGGAAACACCTGCTTTTCTCGGCCGACGGTCCTTATCCCATCCTCGTCGCCAGTTGTTGTATGTCGGCCAGAAGCGAGGAACAAGCAGGTTTCCAAAGGCGAAAGGACAGGTTTATTCCACCATGCTCATGGATGTGGTGTAACTGAGCAAAAGAAGGCGGTAGCTAGCGGAGCACCGCTTTTTATCTTTTAGTGGCGCATGCGCCGTACTACGATATTCTGTTATCGGCGGCGCGCGCCCAGACATGACAGATGAAAGAGTATATTATTGGTGATTTATGTATAATAAAAGCTCCTTTGCGAGCTAAAAAAAGCAGACGTTAGTCAAGGTGTGCCGTGTATGAGAAGATTTTCATGTTGACTAAACACCAGGGGCAGACTATTCATGGAGTGCAAACTATCTAAGCAAAACCTTTTTTTTTTTATTTTTTTGGCTTAAATTGGTTTTTGCGGACTATAGCCCGGAAAATACGGTAATATCCCAGTTGTGCCCTGAAATTAGATTAGACTAGCACAGGGTAAAATACTAAATTAATTATTAAATGTGCTAGTTTGGGGATTTCACAAAGATGCATCTTTTGGTTCCGACAGAAACGAGAGAGGCATCTTCCGCGTGGGAAAGTGCCAGTGCTGTCCGTCTGCATCAAAAGTGTCTCTAATCAAATTCTAACGCTTCGAGACAAAACAGGTAAGCCCATATTTCCCCTATTCCGGCCAGTTTTGCAGCATGCACAGAAACGGTTCATTGGACAGAGCACCAAGAGCACCACTAAAAGAGAATGGTTTCATAAAACAGTGATGTGGTTGTCTCGCATTCTTTGCAGCACTTGTTTATAATGCGTGTACCTGCCAGAGTTTTTGTAAAAAATAAATAAATAAATAAAGATATACCTTTTTTTTTCTTATGTTTCTCGGCAGGAGAAATTTTGGCATCCGTGGACAAGAGCTTTCAAGATTTCAAGGCCTGTCTGAAAACCGGAACTACTATGGTGTTGAGAAAGGTAAGAACTACTTTTGGTCGTAATGGTCATTAAAGGCCATTGACGATGTCAGCATAGCCTAGCTTATGAGTCTCGATTCTGAACCAAAGTAATCAAAGTGCAATAAAAGTAGAATTGTAAGCAGTGAGAGAGTGCAGGCGAGCTGGTAATCAACCGACATCTTGTAAACCCTGAGATGGAGATGGATTGAGATTTTGTTGTGTTCCTCCTTTTTTTATCGTTCCCCATCTCAGGGTTTACAAGATGTCAATAAAAGTATCCTTTTTTTTTTTTGGCTTATTGACCAACTTATGTTTACAAACAAACCGGGGCGCCCCTAGCAGAAGCCACAGGCGCCGCGCATGCGCGATGGGGTTGGGGCAAGAAGCTCGCCGTAACCGATAAACCGACCATGGGAATGCAATGTTGTCGGCGTCGGTGTGAGTCCCCGTGCCCTCTTTCGTGTTGTCATTCTTAATTCTATGTCTTCCTGCAATGTCTGACTACTTTGGCGGCCTGAGCGAAATTAAAGAGGCTCGTTACTTCGCAAAACTTTGCGTGAATAAGGTGACATGCGGCGATTCATTCTGCGTGGACATTGCAAAATGGAAACTAAAGACTGATTCGCCCGTCGAGATTCCGCTCGCTATTCTCAATCATGGCTTCACTTAGGTTGCAAAAAGCAGGAACCGTAGCTGAGATGGTCGACATTGATACTGAAAATCGCAAGCAGTGCTGGATCAAGTGAATCAGACATAACAAGTCGGTGATGGCCACTGGTAACAATTATCAACATCTCCTTGTGTCTACTGCTTACACTGAGCCTACCTGCTTACCCCAACAAACCGTCAAACTTAAGATTTTTGAGGCCTTCACTTACTTCTTATTGCAATTACCTGGTCAACGTTTGGTCTGGGGGCAGCTGTCGTTTGAACGAGCAGCTGACAACAGGCAGAAACATTTGAAAGAGCAGACGGCAGTTTGAATGTCCAGGCGGCCGCTCTAACTTGAAGACGCATTGAATGTAGTCTGCAGGTGGTCTGTACAACATGGCAGTTTTCCCGCGTTCATGTTGGAACAAAACAAATAAATCTGACGACCAGAACTCAACCTTAAGGATTTCTCACACAAGCAATCGTGGTTGGATGGCTTCCAGTTTTCCTTTTTCATGGCCCCTATTCATGTTCTCGGGCGAACTGTGCAGGCAGATAACACATGAAAACTTCCATACCTTTTTCCACTCTTTTGGTACAGCCCCAGTTGCGGCATTTTGACGAGAAGGCAGGTTTTTGTCTGGTTTCTTTCAAAGCAACACAGGAATGCACGTCCCGCATGGTGACTTCTGCCCGCAGCCCCAGACCGGAAGTGCGCCCGACGCACCACCACCGCGCCGCGATGTAACAGGGCTGACTTTGTGTATAGTCTGCTGCATGTTAGGAATAATAGGACAACTGCCCTCCCCTATCCCCCCTCCCCCTACAAAGTTCCCCTCTCACCATGATTGGTGATTTTCTTCTGTCTAGACGTCTTCTTTCCAGCATTCACTCTGCTGAAGGGGAAAGAGTGGAGGGCTTTGTGAGAGGAGAAGAGCTCGGCCTACTTTTCTTGACCTGTAGCAGGTTATAATAGTCGTAATAAAGAAACAAATGCCAGAGCTTACAGAAGCATAGACTTCGATTCCCGTTCTATTTGGTCTAAGCTGAAAGGTATGGGATTGACCTGCCTTTCCATTTGGATCATGGAGCCACAACAACTTCTCCTCTTTCACGTGGCACAGGTGGGTGTGTACGTGAACGCAAAAAAGGAGCACTGCCTCCTCCTCACCAGAGACAACCTGGTCCACATCTACAGTCGCCCAGACGACGTCGGCCCGGCAAGAAAACTAAGTGTCAACGACATGACCCGTCGAGAACTGGAGGCTCTCTGCATGGAACTTCAGCTGGGAGCCCTCGAAGACGCAGCCAGAAATCCGTCGCCGGTTCCCAGATACTCTCTGTTCGCGACTAGCGGCGGCTCTCCCACAAACGCCTCCTCTCGGACTGTGTGCAGAAACTTTAGTCCAGGGCCGAGCCCGAACGTTCGCGGGGACGTAGCTTATTCCCGCAAAGCAAACGGCCCGACCACGCCTGGTTCGTTGCAACAGCGGAGACACGGTGCAGCTTCATGCCTGGTGGCGCCGCTGCTCCACGAGTCGTTGACGAAGCGGCCGTTCGAGGCTTGTTTCAGGGAGTCTCCAACGCAGTCCAAAAGTGCTCCAATTGCGTGTAGAACCAATGGCAGCATGGTGAAGACTGGCACCTTGAGTCCTGGTTTATCACTGGCCGTGCGGAACGTTCCAGCTTACAAGTCGCCTCTGTCCGCGACCTTGAGCAATACGACAGCAGCATTTGGGGTTGGTGGGGCGGTGTCGGCAAGAACGAATGCGGCGACTCCAATCTTGCCCCGTCTGGGGAACGGAGTGTCCAATCTCAGTCTAACATTGAACAGTAGGACTGTGGTGAATTCTGCACAAACAGTGTTCAGCAATCAAGCCTGTGCGCCCTCTGCGACTCCTTCGGCGATTCGTTCGGAAGGCAGCGGTGCAAACTCTGAGGAGCTGCAGTGGCTAGAAGGTAAGGTCGGGAAAGCTTGCATACTTAACTTAAAGGGTAACTCCAGTATATTTTCTCGATTTTATGGTTACGACTCTTTCGACTCGTTTTAGTGAATGAAGTGCCCCTAAATTATAAGGCATCATTTTTTATTTTTTTTAGATGCCTTGTGTAGTTTTTTTAAATATCTTATCTTGAAGTTTGTTTCTGGTGTCTATGGTGAAGCCTCAAACGTGATGGCTACCCTTCATCAGCTGCATGGCCATTGTCTGATGCAAAGTTTGTGCTTTGGTACTGCATGATGTATAACTGTCCTAGTCGTGAGAGCAGTTCCGAATAGTGAGGTAAGATGCTGCGACTGTTTCACTACTTTTCTTGGTAGATGTCCAACATCTGCAGCAAACATTAATACACATTCATAGCGTTGCCGGCTGAAAAGCAAGTAGTACAATCTTGGTGGTGTGCAGTGCACGTTGCAGAAGCATTGTGGAAGCTAATCGTAAGCTTGCAGTGAGCCGGAGCAGACTAAACTATGGCCGCCTTTGAATGGCACCTTCAGCATCGCAACGAGCTTGAGCGTGCAAGGAATAAATGATCTCTGCGCACAATCGCTGAGGAGCACTTACAAACTGCAGTCGCTAATACAACATAACAGAAGCAGAAATCATAGGCTGGGAAAGCTGAAATTGCACCAGGAAAACAGCAAAAGAAGTGGCAGTACGAGCAAGTAACCTTGAGTAGGCACATGACATCAGGGCACAAGGTTGCTTGACAAACAGCCAGCCCGCTGAATGCTTGATGAGAGGCTGGTGGTAGCATTTTTAATATTGGTTTTCAGGTGGATTGCAGTTCCCCATTAGTGTAATACTTTGGCAATGCTCATATTTAATATCCGTAAATCAATAGCAGTCCTCTATTTTGGTTTGACTGTTGAATGGAGTTACCCTTTAATGTGCATGTGACCAGGGAACATTTGGCATGTTCATATGTGATGACGTTTTCAAAGAAATGGAGGTTATAAAGGTAGGTCACATATTGATCCAGCTCTGTCATTATATCCTATGATTAAAAAGGGGGAGGAGAGATCTTGGGATAAGGCTAACAGCAAATATGTGAGAGCAAATAGCCCTTAAAAGCACTTGGAGCATAGGAAACCTAAGAATGATTTGCATTCTTAACTCTTGCCTCTTGAAAAGGCATAGCATTGGCTTTTTGGATATGCTAGCTGATGGCTGAAGCTGATGTTTGCTTTAATTTCTCGAAGCAAGCACCTGGACACTGCAATTCTGCCTCCATTTCGAACAAGCCTCTTAAAGAACTGCTCCTAGCATCTCATCGCTATTTTATTATAGGTGTCCATAACTTTTTTTTAATGCAAAAGCATTAACTGTTCCTTGGAGCGAGCTGACGTCATCAGCTTTGAAGCCGCGCCAAACGGCACCTTAAATCCTTTCTCCAAGTGAAGCCAGCTCCCAGCTATGAAACCACGCAAAAAGCTAGCCAGCGGCACCTAAATTCCCCGATCCCAAAGGAGCGGAGTAAAGCTGATGGTTTTCGGCTTCAATCCCATTGGCTGGCGCATGTCGACGAGGCTCCCATTGGCCGCTGCACGTCAGTTTCAACGACCGCCACCCCATGGCACTGCATATCTGTCAGCGCGCCGATAACACAGAACATCCAAGGTCAGAGCGGCGAGGAGAGGGCGCACTCTGGCGTCAGTGCAAAATACGCTGCAGACGAAATAAGAGAGCGGAAGTATGACGTGCATGCTTTCGCATTCACAACTCATGAGAAGTGCTTATGTGTACCTCGAGCCTTTTTTTTTCTTACTTAATTGGTTACTCAAAAATAGGGAATGATTGCAGGTACTTTTGAAATCTTCGGGAGTTTGTTAAAAGGCTAAAGTTGCTGCCCCAATAAACAATTTGGGCCATTGAAGCAAGGCATGTGACAGTGTACCATTGGTGTGCTCTCTCCGCCTGCGAAAAACTCCGAGAGGCTGTGCTCTTTTGATTTAATCGGCTAATAGGGGCTGTAGCATTTGCCCTTTGTCAGGTAGTACTGAGACAACAAACAAACAAACCAGCTTGTCTATAAAAATATTTAGTGAAGAGTGGAAGATGTGGCAGTTGATTGTGAAACTGTCTGCATCCTAGACAATGGGAAAGTGTGGATATGGTTCCTTTATTGAATGCTTTTATTTTTAATTAGTATAGTAGGCTCGCCTTTAGTTCTGTTAACTTGACTAACGTTACTTTTTTTTTCTTTTTTCAGATGACGCTGACGACATTTTTCGGACGATTGACGATGGTGGCCTGTTTTAGATATTTGAATTTATGTACAGAAGCTGGAGTGCATTAAAATAAGTTATTTTCAGTTAAGTTCACTAGTTTGTGGCAAATAGGGCATTCCAATATATTGGGGATTTACGTGATATTCCTTTGAGGGATAAAATCGAATTACGTTGAGCTGGAAAACGAGTTTCTAAATGGACTGCTGCAACATTTTTGTCTACGTGCGCACCTTGCTAAACTACTTTACATATTTATATTTTTTTAAGAGCGAGTAGAAGCAATAGCAACTAGCTTTGCATTTGCCCACTAATCATTCGTAACTTTCCAAAATGTCTGTCATCTGGATGATCGCAGAACACCTGAACGAAGTTCCTTCTGTGATGCGTAATTCTAATCTTGTTAAATACAAGCAATATAAGAGCCTTACGTCATGCTTCTATGTCAGGATGGTGTAAGCAAGCGCCTTTAATTTGAAGCCGATCATATAGGAGCCAGAGAGAGAGCGGTTATCGCACCGCAGTAGCACCATCGCTGAAAGTTGCAAATTTCAGGAACTCGGTGTTCTGACGTCCAGGCACATTCTCGCGTCCTGTCTCGGTTTTTCGTCGCATTGGTTAGATGCGTTGAGTGCTCTTCTCATCGGTAACTGTTGCACTGAGGAGAAGCGACTCCTCTGGATTGACTACGGGGATCTTGCGCACATCACTTCACCGCAGTGCAGCCTTGTTGTGATGGGTAAAGCACGCCTTCAGGTTGAGAGCCTAACTTATTGTCGGGGTTTTCATTACCTCTAATTTTCAAACAAGAAAACGAAACAAGAATAAAACGGCTTAGGGAAAATTATTGTGCAACTCGAAAGCTATATTTCTCAACGCTGTACTTGTGGCGTCGATATGGGACGATCAACAAAATGGCGGCTGCTCGAGGGAAAACACTATGTGTTCTGGTCTTTCGAAGCAAAGTCTGTTTTCAACATACAATGTCGTCACAACACTTAGTATGCAAAATATTTACCCTTAAAGAATGATATTCGATGTTGATGTCAATTTCAAGACTGTTCCGCACTCAAAAAAAGAGTCGGAAGACCTAGTGCTTCGCATGTCACTGTAAGGTAGAGTCAAGGGAACGTTTCCTCGAAGCCCTCAAAGATGAACTAGACGAGCTTTTTCACAGCTTACTCTAGGGTGGTGGAAGCTATGTGCTGCTGGAGCCAATCGGCCATCGGTAGTGTTCCACGTGATCTTTACCTTTGCGCAAACTCGCGCAGGGACTGTCGTCCAGCGATGAAAGGCAGGCGATTGATTGGTCCGGCAAGCACGCACTGAATGGTGTGTAAAGGCCCATTCACACTTTTGCAACCGAGTGCGACCGAGAGAGACCAAACCGGTTTTTAAGCCTCTTGCGATCTCTTAGGACCAGCTCCGCTCAGTGCATCCGGTCCCAAGAAGTCTTTCTCGGTCGTACTCGGTTGCAAGAGTGTGAACGCGCCTTAACAGTGAACTGCAGTACTAAAGGGTGGCAGAGGCAATGTCAGGCACCAAGCTTTTAGAGCGCAGCTCTTAGGCGCCCGTTTCCGGCTTGAGCGTCGTCGTCGTCGGCGTAACCGCGCGTTGCATTATGAGTCATTTCCCATAATGACGTCACACGTGACGCACTTAACCCGGAAAAATGTTTCCGCTAAATTTAGCGGGAAATTTTACCCTCGTGACGTCATGTCAGACGTGACGTCACGAGGGTAAAATTTTACCGCCAAATTTCGCGGAAACTTTTTCAAATAAATTTAGCGGAAAAATTTCTCGCCAAATTTAGCGGGAAAATTTTACCTTAGTGACGTCCACACGTGACCTTCCCCTCCGTACTCCCCTTTTCCTCAAGAGCTGCGCTCTAATGCGGCATTACAGAGAATTGTAAACGTCTAATTTTTTTGCTTGGTCTTTGTTTTTTTTCTTTTTTTTTTTTTTTTTTTTTTTTTGTGAACAATTTTGGCAATAATTTACTTTTACTGAAGTGAACAGCCTGAAAAACTGGCAGATACACGAAGGCAAGAAATGGACGAACACACTGCTGCTTCGTATATTCATCTTAGTTTTTCGAGCTGTAGACATTAACAAAAGCAATGAACCCACAAGCTCAACTAAAGCAAGTTAAATATTTACAATCACCCTGCATAAAAAAAATTTAAAAAAGTTCGTGATAAATTTGTTTTGTCAATTTTTCAAACGGTACCGCGATTACATTGTACGTGAATATGTTAGGCTGCATTTCGTCAATCAGCATGTGTAGAGGTGAGGGGCATGCTGCTATGGTGTTTCTTAAATCCTTGTCACGGCTAGGATTCTTGGTTCCATGTTCGGCGGAATAGTTTAATATTTGCTCTATAATGGATGCTGAGGGGTTGCAGTGTAGCGAAAAATCAAAGAGCACATCTTTTAGATGGACCGGTGAACACAAATATCTACATGTATAAACTCTGGGGAAAAAAATCCGCATACTAGAAAAAGAAATAAACAGTCGTTAATTCCCGATGCATAGAGGCAGTTAAACATTAGGCGGAAAATTTGCTTATGCGTGCTTCGATCTTGAAAATAAAAAGAGGGAAAAAAAGAAGAAAGCGCCGTCAGATGCCTCTTTCTCCCAGGCGTCAGAAGAGTGGTACCTTATCTGAGTAGATTACCGACACTATCTCTCTCTGTGAATTGGGGGAGGGGACGCACGCCCTTTGTGCAGTTCTTTCGTTACAACCGACTACTGAATTTTTCGCAGTGTGACGAATCAAACGACGTAAATACACGCCCTACAGGGGTTCAAGCAGGAGAGATTTCCACGCACGCCTAACTAAAAATAAAAAAAGAAGCTTTAACTATCAACAGCTTGAGAAACGGGGCGCGTGGTCTATTACACAATCACGCTTCGTGATTGGTCCTTCGGCTATCTTTTAGGCTATCGCCGCAATCTGATTGGCTGAGGAGCGATAATGAGACGCTCGGGGCTTGCCACGCCCCTTGTTTTCTGAGCTGTCGGCGACCATATACAATTCGTTAACAAGATTTCATTAGTGGAACACAACTAGTGAGTCGTTCTGAGAGCGACGCGAGCCAATACGTCATTATTTAACAGCGATTGCCCATAGCACGCGCGAAAGAGACCCTAAACATTTCTGCTAAAAAGAAGCAGTAAAAAACAATAGTAAGACTCCAATTTACGCTGTGAAGGTGCTTGGACAGCGAAGCTGTGGTATCCCCTGCAACGCTTGTCCAATGCACTATAGACCCTTTTTATGTCAAACGCCACCAGGCGGTGCTCCAGTCTCTGACGTCCCCGGGAACTTCCGGTGTATAAAAATGCCAAAAAGAAGGAAGGTGTGCCAGATCTGTTAAAATGTTTCGAGTGTTCTTTCAAATCAATTTGCCTCCTCCAAGATGTAATATTGTACAGCCGAAGGCCCTCGTTAAATCTCCAACTTTGTTGTATGTGTAGCGTTTATGCTTTCTAGCCCTGGGGACATAACCAAGCGCCACAGGCTTGCAAAGACGGTGCGACCGGAAGTCGCCTGGGACGCAAGCGGCAGTTCACGTTTGTAAACAGCAAAATTGTCTATACCAAATGATTGACGAAAGAAAAGTAAATGTACTGTACCAAAACTTTTGTTTTATAAATGAAAAACTTTGTACGCTGCCGTTGCCGCGGCAGCCCATACAACTCCAATCTTTACCGAGAAACGTATGCGGGAAGCGCTACGTGCTTATCATCGTTCGCGTGCGCCTTATACAACCTATATGGTTTTGACACTCGTTTTGTGGCTTTCTTATTGAAACAAGTGTCAAAACCACAAGATGAATGATAAGGCGTGTGCGAACGGTCATAAGGCGCGCGTGGGTTTTCTGTCGACGGACATGAAAAAACCTGACCTACGAGTCATATACAGCTTTGCTGTAAAACACACACGCAAAAAAAAAACATAGATCACGACACAAAACTTTCATTTTCTAAAGCAACAACAAGCAACCATGGAGGAAGTCGACGAATGACGAGGCTCACTTATACTTACTCGATTTTACCTCAAAAGCCGTAATAAAAAATAAAAAAAAACAGGATTTTTGCAAAGTTGCCCCCCCCCCCCCCCCCCCCCCCCCCCCCCTTTTGTGTGGAGGATTAAGATGTACGTAGGTGCATTGTTAGATCAGATATATGTTTTCGAGACGTACACGGTTCAAACGCCAAAAGAATCGCTTCTTCCGAGAAACGAAATTTTGTGAGAACTACGCGCGGCATATGAACGATGCGCAAAACTTCTTTTTTCTTTTTTTTTTTTTTTAGTCTGCGTTGTGACACTGAGCACGTTAGCGAGAGAAAACTTCGTTAGGACAACTCAAGACCATGTACTTTGCGGGAAAGTTGACGATCCGGGTTTCTCGGAGAGTTGAACGATTTGCATGCAGTCAGGACATACATAAACTGGCCGTGTGGTTAATGTCGAACACTGAATTCGACAGCCGTCCTTGACTTTTCTAGGGGCGGTGTCCGATACGAAAATACACCGCCGTCGGGAGCACTACGAGGTCAACATAAACCTGCGCGAGCCATGATCGCACGGAGAAATTTATTACGTAATATGCTCGTTTATTCCCTTTGGCGGTGAAGATAAACCACTGCTTTGAGGATCCCACGTCAGAGAACGGTGTCGTTCAGCGTTCGTTCCAGTTGAAATGCGGGGCGAGACAAGGGCCAATGACTTTACTCTCTTTTTTTTTTTTTTGTCAGTGTACGTCATATTAAAATTGATAAGGCATGCGGCTAATTGCAGCTCTCAGGATAACCATGAGATGCGTGGCGCGCCTGATTTATGCGATCCTCCCCACTACCTGATTACCTGTGTACTTTTTTTGTGGTTGTTTCTCCATTTGCGTTTTTTGTTTGCGAAGGTTCCTCAGACTGACCGTTGGTCTATGCCGCAGTCTTTACGTTCAGCATTTGTCTGCAAACGGAATCTCTGCGGCTGCAGAAGTGAGAGCAGTTTTATGCTCCGAGACACGAGTTGTAGCCAATTCATATAGTACGCATGCAATTGGCGTTGAAATTACTCGTTTATACTAGCATATTTAGCTCCAATATACAGGTG